TTGGTCGATTCCTTACCATCTCGTCACACTATCCTCTACTTTGGTGTACATAGGATTAACGTGCAGCAAAAAAAAGTTGGCCGATTCCTTACCATCTCGTCACACTATCCTCTACTTTGGTGTACATAGGATTAACGTGCAGCAAAAAAAAGTTGGTCGATTCCTTACCATCTCGTCACACTATTTTCGACCTTAGTGTACATAGGATTAAAGTACAGTAGAAAAAGTTGGTCGTTTTCTCAACATCACTACATGCGTCAGCGCTGGTACTCTTCACGCTGGGCTTTTGACGAATGAAGGTGATAGTTTAGTTGTCATCGAAACATCACACTACAACGCGTTGTGTTATAAAAACCTTATTCAACTGATATTATCAACCTTAAAGATGTTCCTGAAAAAAGGGTTTTCACAGATAAAAATCAAAACCTCCTCTTTTTTACATGTGTCAATGATGCCTGCATGTTGGGTAACTCCTGTCTCTTAACTTATGTTGATATGTCTCTAATCAATTCATTCATAATAAAAGTAATTTGTTAAAATCGATAACATCCCGACTTTTGTCTCGACTTCATATAATTGTGTAATAGGTCGAAAACTGTTTTTACTCCAATTATCAGCAGGTAAACAGTTTAACTATTCCCCAAGTCTAAAAATATTGATGATTATCATCAAATAACTTCATTAAATGTTGTATATCTTATATTGCTTTTTCATTTTGTCAACATGTAACTTTTTTATTTCAAGTTTAAGTTTTAAACATAGTCTGAGAGTCAATTCATGGTTGCGATCAGCACCCTAAAATACGATGTTAAGCGTATTATGTATGATGTATCTTGTTTGCAGCAACATTTTGAAAAAAAAATATTATGAAAATTACATATATAAGGAGAATGTGCATACTTACCACTGTACACAACGGCTGAAACTAATCGACAGCATTGTAACGTATCCATCCTCGTGTTTGAAGAAAAATACGACCTTGTCGTTAAAACACTACCATTGTAAGTAACGATGATGGGTTAGAAAACATCTAATGACTAGGCACAAAATGGAAGATCTTGTGATAAGATATGAAAGCTTAACTTAATACTTTATTAACCAAGCGTTATCAAAAACAATGCATAATGCATGTATTTCGTGTAAATCAACACTTTTAGAACGTTACACAGCCTTATTGATCTCTCACCTATGTGATAGACTTTTTACTAGCTAGCACTACGTTAAGTAAAAAATTACTGGGTTTTGCATTTATGATCGGCAATGTTGTATAGTATTTTTTTCCATTTAAACCTAGAGAATAAGATTTCAAACTATTAAAATTTTGCGGCGGTCGTGACGTAAGTTTAAGAGGGTATCTAATTTTAACTAATATTGTTCCTGGTGTCAAATTTCAAATTTCTCATTAGTAATAGATCAATCGGTTACCACGTTAATTCATAACAGTGATATCAACTCATACTTTGAACGTCTTCTGTATCGTATAAACCCGTTCAAACAGTCATTAATAATGATAACAATACTGGACAGTCAGCAAGTGACATTACCGATATGACAGCAGTCTGTATTTTATGGTATTTCGGACAATATGTAGATTTGTACTAGTATTTCACAAATCATGTTTTCGCGATCACGTTGGTGTTCCTCTAAATCGCGAAAATATCCTGCAAAAAGACGATATAAGTATATTTCATAATTCATACAGCATCGATATATACTGAAACTAAGACTTGACACTCAGTGATCAGATTCAATGTCGTTAATTTGTTATGATAATTGAGAAAATAAAATGAAATACTTCATACCGAGGCATCAGAATTGCAAATAACAATAATATTTGTTTCAACAATCAACACTTTGAACATGAGAAAAAGAAAAAGACAGTCTTTGATAGTGCAATGAGTTAAATATGCTTCAAGTAATGATTGTTGTAATTTAAAATATGTCTTTCAAAATCCGATTAAAAAAAACATTTCTTGAAAACAAGCCGATCTCAAAAAAGCCTTACTTCAAAAGAAGACGAGCTCAAAATACACCTTACTTGAAAATAAGTTGATCTCAATACACGCCTTGCTTGAAAAGAAGTTGATTTCAAAATACACCTCACTTGAAAATTAACCGATCTCAAAAACGCACCACTTCAAAATAAGCTAATCTCAAAATACGCCTTACTTGAAAATAAACTGACCTCAAAATACGCCTTACTTCAAAATAAGCTGACCTCAAAATATGCCTTACTTGAAAAAAAGTTAATCTCAAAATACGAATATTTTTTCTTTGAAAAACGCCGATCAAAATGGTCTTTTTTGTAAGATAAGCCGATCTCATGAAAAATTCTGGAAACCCATGCTGACCAATCTGTCTCGAAAACCTAATTTCTGATGAAAAAATAGCTATAGATGATATAGAAATAAATAAGATACAAAGAAAATTTAATTTTCAAAACATTTATCAATTGCACAAACGTATCAAAGGTGTAAAACCAGCACATGAGATAATATGCAATTAAAATGACGATTGTACAAAAGACACACAAGTGAATAGCACATTTTGATGCAACTTGAGAGTTGGACACAGTAGAGCCAAACAATGAATTAAGCTGGATTATACAGCTGCTTGTCTTTCTAGGTTTCATCAGTGATATCAAAAGCCTAAATTTCATTATTTTCATATATTTGATAATTTAAAGACAACGTCACATATCTGTGCACAATCCGAAACACTCTTGTGCCACCAAAGTCAATTTCTATCTGTTCCTGACGTCGTTCGTCATGATACCACCTCAAGTTCAGGTTAATGCCGGGAAAAGGGGATGAACTTTGGTTTCATAAAAAAAATCAATCTAGCTACTATATATGTATTCTTGTTTAAACACGAGAAAATTAGTCTTTGTATTGTCTTTGGTTCGGCATTTAGACACGAAGTTCGTCATAATTTGTAATATTTTGTTCTTATATACGACCATTTGGGTCTACATTTCAGGTAGAGTGCCAAAGTTCTAAAAAGTAAACATTGAATATATATATCTAATGCCAATTGATTATATAGTACACTGTCCTTATATATTTCTTCATGAAGTTGTAGAAGATATGCGGAAAAAATCGAAATGGCCTTACTTGAACCATACGGATCAACAGGTCTAGAAGACCAAATTTCTGGTAAAAAATGAAGCTATAGATGTTGTACTCAGAATATTATACGAATAATTAAAACATACATTAATTACGAACACACAAGCAAGTATCAACATGTTAACACGGTCACAGGAGATAATTCAAGCCAATTGTTTAAATAATTTCTATTTTAGAAGTTCAACTGACAACCATACTCGTCAACGACGAGGGTTTATTTCTTCAGAAAATTTTAGGTTTGAAAAAGGATAAAAATGACAGGTTCATCTTTAAAAAAGTGACATGTTGATAATCAACATGGACATACAATTTAAAATGTACAACATTTACTGAAATTATTGTAAAATAATTATCAATGTTTATAGACTTTGATGAATTGATTAGAGACATATCAACACTAGTTAAGATACAGGAGTTACCCTATCTACGGGTATCATTGACACCTGTATTGGTTTTGCAGGTGTGTAAAAAAAGAGGTTTTGAAATTTATCTGTCGATACAGCGAAAACCCTTTTTTCAGGAACATTTTAAAGGTTGATAATATCAGTTGAATAAGGGTTTTTATAACACAATCTGTAATTGATTTAAGCGTGACGTTTCTATGACGACTACACTATCACATTCATTCGTCAAAAGACCAGTGTGAAGAGTTCTAGTGTACTAGTAAATTTTGTATTGTTTTATATTTAAAGAACAGAGGAAATTATACATAAGTAATCATTTCGGACATAATTAAAATACATGGTTATATTCATAACTCTGCAACTATTCATAGGAATCAAAATGTGGTTAACTTGGCTATAACCATAAGTAAATCATCTAATACAAGTTTTGTGAAAAGAATGCAACTGAAATTGACCACACATTTGCACTTCGCTTTTACACGATTTGCAGACTCTGAGTAACTGTATAAAATTCGTGAAAGGTCCCGATTACCATTAATGTCTACCATAGGTGTAGATAACCGCATCATTATAAAGATTCAATACAAAAACCAAGCCCAGTTATCAATAAATATACGGAGGACAAAATCATAAAAATGTACAATATTCTGGCTGACAATATCTTCGTCGAGTTTGGTGGTAAGGTCTTCCTCCAACAGGCTGTTGGCATACCTATGGGACCAAATTATACCCACTACTTGGTTTTAATACGAGACTGAATGTATCAAAACAAACATTGCAAAGTCCGACAATTTCATTTTCAGATATATTGATGACGTCTTGTCTTTAAACATCAAGAGCCATGTCTATCGTATATACATATCAGATCCATATCGCCCCTTGACTCAACAATCAAAAGTTATGATAAAGGCTTGTACGTTACAATGTAAAGCTTAAAGCTTGTACGTTACAATGTAAAGCTTAAAGCTTGTACATTACAATGTAAAGCTTAAAGCTTGTACGTTACAATGTAAAGCTTAAAGCTTGTACGTTACAATGTAAAACTTAAAGCGTATACGTTACACTGTAAAGCTTAAAGCGTATACGTTACACTGTAAAGCTTCAAGCGTATACGTTACACTGTAAAGCTTAAAGTTGTACATTACAATGTAAAGCTTAATGCTTGTACGTTACAATGTAAAGCTTAAAGCTTGTACGTTACAATGTAAAGCTTAAAGCGTATACGTTACACTGTAAAGCTTAAAGATTGCACGTTACACTGTAAAACTTAATGCTTGTACCTTACACTATAAAGCTTAACGATGATATATTCAGTTGGTATTTTTCATTGTGCGTGTAATTTATGTGTATTCATTTTTATTCCCTTAAACCTAATACAGCATTGCTAAATAGATATTCACTTTCTCATTTCCATCTAATGCGTGGAACCTCATTACCACTAATGAACAGAATACCAACGTAAAAATACCTTCAACACACTGGGGCAATCCACTGCAGGTAAGTCCAAACAAACTTGAGCACACTTGAGCAATCCACTGCAGGTAAGTCCTAACAACCTTGACCACACTGGAGCAATCCACTGCAGGTAAAGTTGACAATTGCTTTACCTGGACAACAAAAGAAAACATAAAACTTTAACACACTAATTCACTGCAGGCACAACTTGTAACACACTGGCAATCCATTTAATCAAAATGGATTATTGATGACCACTGGAGCATCCACTGCAGGTAAGTCCTAACAACCTTGTACACACACTGCAGAGTAAGTCCTAACAAAAACACACTTGAGGAAATGTGGCAATCCTATAACCTTTACACAATCAGCAATCATAATGCAGGTAATGTCCTAAAATCTTGTACACACAATCCACTGCAGGTAAGTCTTTCAACCTTGTACACACTGGAGCAATCCACTACAGGTAAAAACAACCTTGTACACACTGGAGCAATCCACTGCATGTGTTTAACAACCTTGTACACACTGGAGCAATCCAATGCAGGTAAGTCCTAACAACCTTGTACACACAGCAACCACTGTGGTAAGTCCTAACAACCTTGAACACACTGGAGCAATCCACTGAAGGTAAGTCCTAACAACCTTCAACACACTGGGGCAATCCACTGCAGGTAAGTCCTAACAACCTTCAACACACTGGGGCAATCCACTGAAGGTAAGTCCTAACAACCTTGTACACACTGGAGCAATCCACTACAGGTAAGTCCTAACAACCTTGTACACACTGGAGCAATCCACTACAGGTAAGTCCTAACAACCTTGTACACACTGGAGCAATCCACTGCAGGTAAGTCCTAACAACCTAGTACACACTGGAGCAATCCACTACAGGTAAGTCCTAACAACCTATAACACACTGGAGCAATCCACTACAGGTAAGTCCTAACAACCTTGTACACACTGGAGCAATCCACTGCAGGTAAGTCCTAACAACCTATAACACACTGGAGCAATCCACTACAGGTAAGTCCTAACAACCTTGTACACACTGGAGCAATCCACTGCAGGTAAGTCCTAACAACCTTGTACACACTGGAGCAATCCACTACAGGTAAGTCCTAACAACCTTGTACACACTGGAGCAATCCACTACAGGTAAGTCCTAACAACCTTGTACACACTGGAGCAATCCACTGCAGGTAAGTCCTAACAACCTTGTACACACTGGAGCAATCCACTGCAGGTAAGTCCTAACAACCTTTAACACACTGGAGCAATCCACTACAGGTAAGTCCTAACAACCTTGTACACACTGGAGCAATCCACTACAGGTAAGTCCTAACAACCTTGTACCCACTGGAGCAATCCACTACAGGTAAGTCCTAACAACCTATAACACACTGGAGCAATCCACTACAGGTAAGTCCTAACAACCTTGTACACACTGGAGCAATCCACTGCAGGTAAGTCCTAACAACCTTGTACACACTGGAGCAATCCACTGCAGGTAAGTCCTAACAACCTTGTACACACTGGAGCAATCCAATGAAGGTAAGTCCTAACAACCTTGTACACACTGGAGCAATCCACTACAGGTAAGTCCTAACAACCTTGTACACACTGGAGCAATCCACTACAGGTAAGTCCTAACAACCTATAACACACTGGAGCAATCCACTACAGGTAAGTCCTAACAACCTTGTACACACTGGAGCAATCCACTGCAGGTAAGTCCTAACAACCTTGTACACACTGGAGCAATCCACTACAGGTAAGTCCTAACAACCTTGTACCCACTGGAGCAATCCACTACAGGTAAGTCCTAACAACCTTGTACACACTGGAGCAATCCACTGCAGGTAAGTCCTAACAACCTTGTACACACTGGAGCAATCCACTGCAGGTAAGTCCTAACAACCTTTAACACACTGGAGCAATCCACTACAGGTAAGTCCTAACAACCTTGTACACACTGGAGCAATCCACTACAGGTAAGTCCTAACAACCTTGTACCCACTGGAGCAATCCACTACAGGTAAGTCCTAACAACCTATAACACACTGGAGCAATCCACTACAGGTAAGTCCTAACAACCTTGTACACACTGGAGCAATCCACTGCAGGTAAGTCCTAACAACCTTGTACACACTGGAGCAATCCACTGCAGGTAAGTCCTAACAACCTTGTACACACTGGAGCAATCCAATGAAGGTAAGTCCTAACAACCTTGTACACACTGGAGCAATCCACTACAGGTAAGTCCTAACAACCTTGTACCCACTGGAGCAATCCACTACAGGTAAGTCCTAACAACCTATAACACACTGGAGCAATCCACTACAGGTAAGTCCTAACAACCTTGTACACACTGGAGCAATCCAATGCAGGTAAGTCCTAACAACCTTGTACACACTGGAGCAATCCACTGCAGGTAAGTCCTAACAACCTATAACACACTGGAGCAATCCACTACAGGTAAGTCCTAACAACCTTGTACACACTGGAGCAATCCAATGCAGGTAAGTCCTAACAACCTTGTACACACTGGAGCAATCCACTGCAGGTAAGTCCTAACAACCTTGTACACACTGGAGCAATCCACTGCAGGTAAGTCCTAACAACCTTGTTGAAGGTAAGTCCTAACAACCTTGTACACACTGGAGCAATCCACTACAGGTAAGTCCTAACAACCTTGTACACACTGGAGCAATCCACTACAGGTAAGTCCTAACAACCTTGTACACACTGGAGCAATCCACTACAGGTAAGTCCTAACAACCTTGTACACACTGGAGCAATCCACTGCAGGTAACTAACAACCTATAACACACTGGAGCAATCCACTACAGGTAAGTCCTAACAACCTTGTACACACTGGAGCAATCCACTGCAGGTAAGTCCTAACAACCTTGTACACACTGGAGCAATCCACTACAGGTAAGTCCTAACAACCTTGTACCCACTGGAGCAATCCACTACAGGTAAGTCCTAACAACCTTGTACACACTGGAGCAATCCACTGCAGGTAAGTCCTAACAACCTTGTACACACTGGAGCAATCCACTGCAGGTAAGTCCTAACAACCTTGTACACACTGGAGCAATCCACTACAGGTAAGTCCTAACAACCTTGTACCCACTGGAGCAATCCACTACAGGTAAGTCCTAACAACCTTGTACACACTGGAGCAATCCACTACAGGTAAGTCCTAACAACCTTGTACACACTGGAGCAATCCACTGCATGTAAGTCCTAACAACCTTGTACACACTGGAGCAATCCACTACAGGTAAGTCCTAACAACCTATAACACACTGGAGCAATCCACTACAGGTAAGTCCTAACAACCTTGTACACACTGGAGCAATCCACTGCAGGTAAGTCCTAACAACCTTGTACACACTGGAGCAATCCAATGCAGGTAAGTCCTAACAACCTATAACACACTGGAGCAATCCACTGCAGGTAAGTCCTAACAACCTTGTACACACTGGAGCAATCCACTGCAGGTAAGTCCTAACAACCTATAACACACTGGAGCAATCCAATGCAGGTAAGTCCTAACAACCTTGTACACACTGGAGCAATCCAATGCAGGTAAGTCCTAACAACCTTGTACACACTGGAGCAATCCACTGCAGGTAAGTCCTAACAACCTTGTACACACTGGAGCAATCCACTGCAGGTAAGTCCTAACAACCTTGTACACACTGGAGCAATCCACTACAGGTAAGTCCTAACAACCTTGTACACACTGGAGCAATCCACTGCATGTAAGTCCTAACAACCTTGTACACACTGGAGCAATCCAATGCAGGTAAGTCCTAACAACCTTGTACACACTGGAGCAATCCACTGCAGGTAAGTCCTAACAACCTTGTACACACTGGAGCAATCCACTGCAGGTAAGTCCTAACAACCTTTAACACACTGGGGCAATCCACTGCAAGTAAGTTCTAACAACCCTGAAGACACTGGAGCAATCCACTGCAGGTAAGTCCTAAGAACCTTGAACACACTGGGGCAATCCACTGAAGGTAAGTCCTAACAACCTTGTACACACTGGAGCAATCCAATGAAGGTAAGTCCTAACAACCTTGTACACACTGGAGCAATCCACTGCAGGTAAGTCCTAACAACCTTGTACACACTGGAGCAATCCACTGCAGGTAAGTCCTAACAACCTTGTACACACTGGAGCAATCCAATGAAGGTAAGTCCTAACAACCTTGTACACACTGGAGCAATCCACTACAGGTAAGTCCTAACAACCTTGTACACACTGGAGCAATCCACTACAGGTAAGTCCTAACAACCTTGTACACACTGGAACAATCCACTGCAGGTAAGTCCTAACAACCTTGTACACACTGGAGCAATCCACTACAGGTAAGTCCTAACAACCTTGTACACACTGGAGCAATCCACTGCAGGTAAGTCCTAACAACCTTGTACACACTGGGGCAATCCACTACAGGTAAGTCCTAACAACCTTGTACACACTGGGGCAATCCACTGCAGGTAAGTCCTAACAACCTATAACACACTGGAGCAATCCACTACAGGTAAGTCCTAACAACCTTGTACACACTGGAGCAATCCACTACAGGTAAGTCCTAACAACCTATAACACACTGGAGCAATCCACTGCAGGTAAGTCCTAACAACCTTGTACACACTGGAGCAATCCACTGCAGGTAAGTCCTAACAACCTTGTACACACTGGAGCAATCCACTACAGGTAAGTCCTAACAACCTATAACACACTGGAGCAATCCACTACAGGTAAGTCCTAACAACCTTGTACACACTGGAGCAATCCACTGCAGGTAAGTCCTAACAACCTCCTCCGTTACGTGTTTTAGTGATTATGACAACATACACTTTTTACTTATTGGATGCCAATCTCTTTCTTTAGTGATTTTCAGTGCCCTCAGACGATTTATCTAACATCACACGTTTCAGTGTAAGGGGGATCACTTTCCCACAGTGTCCTGCAGATGTTTGCTGGTTGAATTTGATCAGGTTCAATCAAGGAATTATGGAATGTTGTATCTGCTTGTTTTTATTTCAGTTAGCTTCAGAAGCTTTTATCGAAATTCAGTGGTGTCTGTTACACTGTATCTATCACTGTGTCTGGTGTTTCGTCCTTCTTCTGTAACCACTTTGATGTTACATCTGTCCTTGCCAGTTTCATTCTTTCTGTTCCTTCTATGAATGGTAATTGTAACGCTCTCGCTCTCTCCATGGATCATACAAGGAATCTCCCACGTGCTCATTTTCAGTACCATATTCTCCGAAAATGCTGACATTCCTTTACCAGCAGATATCCTGTCGCTTTCTCACTCGTTCACCTCTTTGATCACTTGCGCTATTCTCTTGTGTGCCTTTCGTACAATCTTATTCCTTTCTTTCACAACAAACTTCATTATTACGACCGGATAGATAATGTCAATTGACAGAATAGTATTTAAGTAAAGTCATACAGAAAGTACCTCAGCAGTGAAGCCCCGCAAGCTTGAGCGTTGTGCCAATGTAACCCCGAGTTCAGATTCAAGGTTTGTGTTATGAAGTTCTTTACCTGTGGCGGTTTGTGCTTCAAAGGAAGCCGAGTAACAGACTTGTCTGTGATGACCTGTGCTATCATCGTCATATCGTCCTTGAAATTTCTTTTGGGATTGAAAATGGTTCTAAGATAGACAGAATTTTGTTAGAATCGAGTTTAGGAAAATCGTTAAAGGTATTGTGACTGGTGAACACTTATTCGACAATCTATTTTTAGCATGGTATCAGTTAGATACATGTTCCAGTTTTCTTTACATCTGAGTTTAGGTGCGGATCCCGTTATCAAACAGAAAAAGTGCATTCCAGAGAGGTCTTAGGAAAGATTCACACACTTGTAGACAATACGTAAATGACTTTCAAACAATATTTAGGACTGAATTCGAATCCCAAACAGGAAAAGGACATTCCATTGAGGGCCTTTCGAAAGACACAAGATTTTTTGGAGTTTATCCTGAGAAAACATAGCGTTGATGACTTTAGGTTACATTTCTGCCTTGCGGGTAAAGCATAAGATTTGTACCCGTTGTCCCATCACATAACTGTAGGAGGCGACTGAATTTGGGATCTGATCTTCTTTCTAAACAGCTATTATTCCTGTCTCTCCAGACACCGCCTCACTTTCTGGTCTTTAGACTTTTCATCCCTGTGAGAAAAGCGTTTGGTGTTTTCCAATGACTGAGACATTAACACAAACCTATAGACTATTTTCCTGTCTCCCTAGGCACTGCTTCACTTTCTGGTCTTTAGACCTTTCGACCCTGTGAGAAAAGCGTGTGGTGTTTTCCAAAGACTGAGACATTAACACAAGTCTATAGACTATTTTCCTGTCTCACTAGACACTGCTTCACTTTTTAACTTTTTTGGTCTTTAGACATTTCACCCTGTGAGAAAAGCGTTTGGTGTTTTTCAATGACTGAGACATTAACACAAACCTATAGACTATTTTCCTGTCTCCCTAGGCACTGCTTCACTTTCTGGTCTTTAGACCTTTCGACCCTGTGAGAAAAGCGTGTGGTGTTTTCCAAAGACTGAGACATTAACACAAGTCTATAGACTATTTTCCTGTCTCACTAGACACTGCTTCACTTTTTAACTTTTTTGGTCTTTAGACATTTCACCCCTGTGAGAAAAGCGTTTGGTGTTTTTCAATGACTGAGACATTAACACAAGCCTAACTACTACTTTTAGAAGTGGTAGTTAAAATGTCCTCATATTGATATTGTTTAAGTGTAACTATGTCTAAGTATAATGTTAGAGTATGATAGGGCAAGCTTATCATTATTCAAGTAGCTTCCATATTTCATTTCCATTATACAATGTATCTTAATTAGATATACAAAAGATTTATAACTTTGTATTTGTTTTATGTTCTATGTATGTGATGTAATTTCTGTAATATTTGTGTCTTGATAAAGGGGCAGGTTGCCTCGAAAATTTGAAATTTCGCTCGTCCATACCGTCGCTATTACTTCATCGATCATATATTAGATAGATAAAGAAGATGTTTATATAAGATATGCTGCATAATATATAAGATTTCTTATTGAAAAATTATACCAGTTGCTATATATCAGATATCTTATATGCTATATAAGAGAATTCTCCGCTAATTATTGATGCATCTAATGTTACATTTTTATAATTCTCAAAATTAATTTGATTTTTTTCTTCTTTCGCTTTTTATGCAAGTGTCTCTGACAAGTTTCAAGTGTCTGCTTTTTATACTGATCAACTAACACTATGCCTTTTGGATATCAGAAAAAACTTTTTCAGTTTTCGAGTTGTAGATAAATGGAATAGTTTACCACAATATTATGATAATAGATGCAAATAATGTTATACAATTTGAAATATTACTGGACAATTATTTGAAACTCTCTGCTAATTGATTTATTTATTTAATTAATAAGATTGATTACTGGTTAAATGTTAAAAATTAATTAAACAAATTATTTTTGTATATGTACAATTCATTGATATGGATATAGAGGCTTACAGCCTGCATCCATTATTTTTCCTATTAAATTTCCTATTAAACTAGTTATATATTTTCCTTACAGCTGCCTCCTATGATAATTTTTTTTGTCAAATTTAAATATCCACATGTAGATATACATTTTCACTCATTCTTGTATACTAAAATGTCATTTAGTTTCGGAATGTAATCATAATACATTTGCGATGCTAATTTTGACTTATTATATAATTGTTATTTGTTATCCGGTCACATGAAAGTAAACGATATTAATATTTATTAAGATATTTTTACTAAATTTTTTGTTAACTCTTGATTGTTTAAATTACTTAATTGATATGATGTTTGTCACGTATGTAATTTATCTAGGACTTGCGTAAATCTATGGTCACATGTGTACATGCAATGCACCAAATGACCCCACGACCCGGAAGTATGTCAAAAGTGACACGCATGCGTTTCGTCCGCTTGCCAAGTTGTAGGTTTGTTTTGGGAAGTGAGGTCAGAGTACAAGTGAAAGACATGTGTACATGTCTAAAGATACACATTTAACGTCATTGTATTTATCAAACTTCAAAATCTTGAGATCGTCGAAAGGAGCAGCAGAATGACGGATTTTTTATCTTTAACCCAGCTGAAGAAGCTGAAAGAACACAAGTACAGTGCACAGGGGCAGTCGATTCTGGAACCGCAGATGCAGAAGTTCTGGCGATGGTTGGTCGAACAGATTCCAGAAACATGGGCCCCAAACACAATTACTAGTGTGGGGCTCATCATCAATATCACCACAACACTATTTTTATTGTTGTTCTCGTCCGACGCAAAGACAGAGGTACGATACATTAGAGCTATATATGCATCTAGACTAAAAGTCAATAGGAACCGAGACGTTCGCTATCTCGGCCCTCGCTTACCGGTGATGGTCCACAAGATGGGATCAAAGCTTAAAGTTTCGCCTAACATGTCTAATAGGCAGATACAACCAGAGACCTTCGCGTAACATGACCTGATTATATCTTCTGGATATTTACAAATGCCAGTACCAGTATTCATTGAATACTCACCAACTATGTCGTACATTAAAGCTCCGATTCAAGCCATGCTTTTATGAACTCAATAATATATTGCAAAATATATTGGTTCATACTTTCCCAAATTTCCTCTTGTCCTAGCAGAATGCTTGTAGCTCTGATAACCTTATCACTTTGAAAAGCAGTATTTTTGTAGAATTTTTTAAGTTGTGTCCATTACACAGAGTTCTGGTATCACTAATTCTGAAATTTTAATGAGTTCCAATACTAACGAGATGAGTGGAGTGTGGAAATTTTGAGTTGAATCCACAGGAAAAGCAGGAGTCCAGTACTTGTATATATATATATATATATGTGTGTATACAAATTTATGTGTCCCGAAAATAAGTGGAAGGAGGCTGAGTATTAATATTGATATTACATTGTACTTCTATGATCCCAATACCTGAGGACGTCCAGACATATGTATGCAAATATCTCATTTGTTTCGGACATCTGTCTGTTGTAGGGGTGGATATAGTACAATAAACATTTAGTGAAATCTTTCAGGATATTACTTACAGGTTTATCTCCAAGCAATATGTGGCCTGTTAGCTCAGTGACTTGTGTTAAACTTTGGCGTTAGTGTCCAGTATCTGGAGCAAACACAATTTACATACCTGCAATTCTTCTTTAGAAAGTGGATTTAACTGTGATGTTGTCTAGTCATTTATCGATGACTGAGGATGACCCTATCATGCAGTGTATTGACTGGGCAGTCCTTGCGAGGTCAAGATGAATTTAGCTTTGCATGAGCACTTGCAATTAAAGTGTATCTGATGTGTAATGGATAGCCTAGTCCAGAGTATAAATATGTATGTTCCATATGAAACATTGGGCAGTCGAACAGATTTATTTCTGGAGGTGTGTCATATTTTTCTCTTTGCCAAGTAGGCTAAGGTACGGAACATATCATGGGGAGGGAGCCATGACATAAACTAACATTAAGCTTGTGTAGGATATAGACCCAGGGACAGGTTTGAGGGTGACTGGTATGTGAGTGTGAGGGAAAGCGTTCTCCTATTTGTATACATGTTATCACCTCACCAATAAATCATGTGTAATGGTTTATATTTAGTCAATTATCGTATCTGTAGGTGACAGTTTTCATTTGTTGCAACCTACCGAACCAGGGTTGCAGACATAAGCACAATTACTTCAAAATGAAATTGATTTTAAATTAATGATTTGGGTTAATTTCTTAAGAATTTGTAAACAATTACTATCAATTACAATCACATAATGACAATGACCCAATGCCTGCTGGGTTGACAACACCAGGCGATGCGGGACACACTAAATTCAGGATCTGTGTGATTTGCTCGCAACACAAACTCGTCCTATTAAATGTCTGTCAACACTTACGTTGTGTCTGATGTAGCAGGCACTTAAAAAGAGGAAACTAGGGATAAATTATCAAACAATAGAAGAATTATAAGTCACATATTGTTATTTCCCTCATAGTTCAGGTTTCTTATAGGAGACAGCGACCATATCTAACACTATGTACATGTGGCTGCCACACTGATAAACTCTGATAGACTCTCTACGTTCTTGAGGTTTCTTAATCTGAGACTTTGTAATGATAACAGGAACCTGTGAGGCTACAATCGGCAAAATGTGAAAGAAGGTGGGAGAGCATGTTCCTGTTCAAACAGAAATCGAACCCATATCTTCTCTATGATGATCCATAAGACTCATCACTGGTCAAAGAAACATGCACTCTTTGATGAATGACTGAGATTATATTCAACAAAGTGGCTTGCTCCTTATAGTATTTTGAGTGCCGTCACCTGATATAGCACATCAAAGACTTTGGTCTGATTCTGCAATCAAATTTGTAAAAAGAAGATATTCATTTAGTACAGTATTCAATAAATGTAATTCAAGAAAAGTGTATGTTCTTTCAAACAAATGCAAACATCATTTTATTTTCGTAAACCAAGTGAATTACATTGCAAAGTTCATGCTGGTACATATTTCAGTATTCTCACTTTTAATGTTTATTTTTACAGGCACCAAGATTATGTTATTTCCTGTGTGGAGTTGGGCTGTTTCTGTACCAGTCTCTGGATGCAATAGATGGGAAACAGGCCAGAAGGACAGGAACAAATACACCACTTGGAGAGCTGTTTGATCATGGTTGTGACTCAGTTTCCACAGGTAAGCCTCTTACTGGAGTCATACTTCAAAACTTTGACGTAAAGCATAAGGATTATACAAATGCCAGCTTCCCTCATTGCATGATCATAAGGGGTGACTAAACTTGTGATCTTCTTTTTCTGTTTTTTGTGAAAGGTCTTTTTTTAATCTTCCTTATATAAGTCTCATTTGACTCTGCCACATAAAAAAAAAGAAAGAATTTGATTGGAGCATATGCTGAAGTAAGGAAAGCTATATATAGGCTCTGCCCTAAGCCATGACATACATGATGTCATTAACAACCAAAAATTATCTTCCTTTGGCCTCATACAACATATACTATATCCATCAGTGTTGTGGAGAGATTTACACCCTTGTGTATCAAAACACTTCATGAGTTCCACTTCATTAGATATAACAGCGATTTAATGAATTTTCTTGAAGTTTGCATCTATGCTTCCATGCTGAGCAATTATTTTGTTGTCGTCATCAGGCATAATTCAGCGTAACATCAACATCAGGTAAACACAGATTGAACAACAAAACTGTTTAAGTTTCAATAGTCTGACTTTTGATCAATGTTGCAGGATGAATAGAATACATGGTCAGTGTCTTAAAATATAAGAGGCTTGCCACTTTTGTCTTTCTGTCCCAAGCCGAAATGCAGCTTATATTTTAAGTCACTGACCATATATTCTCTATTTACCATACTTTATGCTTAGATTCATAAAAACAATACAATGAAGGGTTTTTATTTGACAATTGACACCTTTCCCTTAAAATCTGGAGTGTCAGAGTAATGGCTGATGCAACTCAGGTGGAAATCTGTGTTCTTTGGAAGCTGAGAAACAGATCAATCTGTACCGATGTGGTTGTGTCCTTGCACAAGACACTTTACCATCATTTCTCTTGATATCATGTAATGAGTCTCCCAAATGGTGTTCAATAGGGTGGCAACCATGTTTACTGACTGATGTCTAGTGCAAGATTGGTTTGGGTCCAGAGGATACTGCCTTCAAGAAAGAAATATAGGTGTAAAATTAGTGAATTCAATACCTGTAGATTTTGTGGGTTCATTATGCATATATATGTAAGATAGTGACACTCTCATCTTTCTCATGGCATACTGGGATATGCTTCCTGCTGAAAATACCAAAAATAGGGATGGTATGACCCTCTGATTCCTAAAGTGACAGAGGTGTATAAAAATGTCATATTTTTAGTTATAACCAAAATGTTTTTCCTTAAAAAATTTAAGAACACAAATCTTTTATAAATGGAAATCATTGATATTTTGAAAATCATATTCAGGAGTTGCCTTGAAAAAATCTACAAACTTTTGAAAAACACTTATAACAATATGAAGTTGTACATGTGCCAATCTGCATGTATTAGCATCACAGATTTATTTGAGCTTGTGAGAATGTTTCAATAACCAATTAATCCAGTAAAGATAGTTAATAGTGAGATCAGACTATAAAATGGTAGCAAGGCAGAGATTAATCTAAAAGTTTACTATCGGAAAAGGATAGTATTTTCCAAGTGTTACGCTTTCCCCTCTGAATCTAAGCAAATTCCCTATTAAGAAAATATCCTGAAAACACAGAGAAATTTCTCCCAAAATGGGAAAGTTTTCCACAAAAGATAGCTTATTAGTACTGTATATTTTACTTGATATTTTTGGAAGTCATGCCATCCTCAAAAAGATGTTAACCTCAACATTGTCATATTTCATTCATTTTCATTATGTATGTCTCATATTTTTAACGTATATCCCACTTTCGAGGTCTGAACAAAGGGACTGTCCAAAGTTTCTCCATCTCTCAAAACAGACCAAATTGGTGTTAGAGAACATCAAGTCCCATAATATTGAAACCAAGATTTTAATCTGTTGATATTTATTTTGGGTTGGGTCATCTGACCTGAAAGGTCAAGATTACCTATTGCTATTGTGCATTGTCAGTGTTATGTGCCGTCTGTCGTCTGTAACTTTTTCCTTTGAAATACTGCCTCTTGCTTAACTCCTTAGCAGATTTCAACCAAATTTGGTCAGTTACATCATTGGAGGATGTAGTGATGGGTGATTATTTCTAAAACTCAGAAAGTAGATTTGACAATTAGAGACCTGGGGATGGGGCCCCAAAAGAGTAGCTAGACAATTCTTTGCTTCAAAGTGCTACTTTTCCGTAATGCTTGAATGAATTTCATTCAAATTTTGTCTGTAACATCAGAAGGGATTGGCAAATAATTCTCAAATTCAGAAAATAGATTTGACCCCTAATTTGGCCTAGGGACAGGGACTTTGGGATGAGGTCTGAAAAGGGGAAATAAAACAATATTTTGCTTCAAAATGCTACTCCTTCTTAATTCCTGAGTAGATTTCTACCAGATTTGGCCTAAACATTATCAGGGAGTGGCAATGATATCAAACATGAATGAAATTATCCTGAGATTGTCCTGACCAAAACTTATTTTTCTGCTTTGTTCCAAAATCCAACACAACTCATCTCAAATAGTCTGAACTTCTACACAAGTTTCCTTTACACCAGTGAGAAAAATATTTGGAGTTTGTTTTGTCAAAGAAAAGAAAGAGCTGATTTGTTGTTATTTTTCAGTCTGATCAAAACTTCAACATGGTAACAACATGATTGTGAAAATGGTTTTTTTTCATGCACAGAACCTACCATTTATGAGTTTCTGATACTTTCAAGGAATGTTCAAAATTTGAATTCATCAGATTTGTCAGACCACCATCAGCGAATTCTGTGGTTTGTCCAACCATTTGTTGATAGTCAGATGACCATTAAGGACCATGGACCTCTTGTATATGTTAACCCTTGACCTAGTCATATATCATTTATGATACTTTATAGAAACCTGAATTGCCCTGTTTGAGTAACTATCATACACGATTTGTAGGTTTATTTTAAGACACCAGCTGTTGCCAGAAAAAATCAATTATGTGTTCTTTTAGAATATTACTACTGTAGCGTATATTTACAACATCTGTTATTGTGTCATGTTACAGTATATAAAATTGTTTACAGTTTTGTTTACAGTGATGTGTAGTATGAATTTCCTGTTCAATTGAAGCTGTGTGAATGATACTGGGTACAGAGTTTACTGAAGTTGTGAAGTATATAGAGATGTATCAGCCGTAGTTAGTCATGGTATATAACCACTTACAAGAAAATTGTGACCTCAATCCTTAAGTAAAGTATAGGGATCTACAAGTATCATACTTTTCCCAGGTCAGGGGAATTCATATTTCAATTACCAATGTATTTTATTGATTAATTTTCATTGATTGGTTGAATTGATCTCATCTATTTGAGATAAATTAATATGATTATATTTCCAGGTAGATATTAGGCCAAATTTTTAAAGGGGCTATTTAGTCAAGCAACGTTTTTTCTATTCAGCTGGAAACGAAAATATATGTGTCCAGACTAACAAATCTGTACATAATAGTTTTCTCCTATGTAGCGAATGTCCAGTGTGGTCAGTTTAAAATCTGGGTAAGCCCCCACCAAAATTAGCAATTTAACAAATGCGAGCGATATGAAGGCATCAAGTGAGGAAACGATGAGTCTGATTTCACGTTAACTCCTTTCGTAAGGAAATCACGAATGAAATTGCGTGGTAAACCTTTGTAAAACATATAAAAGTTACTAAAATTCATGGTGAATTGTTATTTGATGGTTTAAATCTGCCAAACACGGTCTGACATACAAAAAATATTACCAGCGATGATGATTTCTTCATAACTTCGTCATTACTTTGGAAAAAGTTTTCTTTCTTGAACTTGTCCCACCTCTCGTACTGCTCTCCTATTGTTATTCAAGGGCGAGCTTTCTGTCACTTTCCTTTTCTACGTTTTGTGTGTGATGACGTGGCCCGTTTGCCATGGGCACGCATTGGCTGGAAAGCCATTTTTGTTCATTTTTTTCAGACGCGATTGGGCATGCTCACAGGTCAAAGTGTGCATAGGCGGCATGCTCATTTGCATTTTATCGTGCTGTACAGACGATTAGGATTTCCCATATAATTAATTAGTAAATCGATGGAAAACACGCGCTTGTATCAATATGACAGCGAGGATAATTCATAAGGATTATAGAACTACTTTTTTATGGATGAATTTGTAACTAGAAAAAAAAAAAATCAAACTTGACTAAATAGCCCCTTTAAAACATGTTTGAATGTTTTTTGCAAAATTCTAAACTTTATTGTTTTCTTCTTAAACTCTGTGCTTAAAAATTTGTTCATTTAATTCTTAGTTTAAATTATCTCCTTTAAACTCAGAACTTAGCTTTATGATAACATTCTTACAATTACGTGTTGCTGGTGAAATATATCTCATGTTTTACTGTTGGTAAAAAGCAAAAAAGATTTGGGATGTGATATTTTTTGTGCCCATGGATCAAAAGATCGGGCTGTATGTATTGTTTTTCTGATGTCTCTAGTTGACTTGCCCATATATAACTGTTGCATTGTAAGAGACAGGGCTTTCATATTTGGCATGTGTGACAAGATCTTTCTGGTGATACCAAAATTTTTGTCCATGTGAGCTTGACTGTGACCTTTAACCTACATTTTGAAAAAAACTTAAACATTGGTCTAAACTATCACACAATGTAGACATAAGTGTTTCACAAGTATGTATGCAAATAACGCATGCCTTATACAGTTTTCATGTCCTACTTCAGAATTTTGTTGCAACCGGGGGTATACTGTTTCATAAACACATTTTGTTTCTAAAGTTTCTTTCTAAAAGGCTACTTCTCCCTAGTTAATGTCTCCCTTGTCACAGCCTCGCTTTTGGCTTTTAATTGAGCACTTAACTCTTTGAGAAAGATCTAAACTTTGGGATTCTGTTCCCTGGCAGAACATTCATTTACCAGAGTCTGGTGGTTGTAATACACCTAGTTTACCTGTTATCATTGTAATGTGATTGAATGGGGTGCCCTGAATCTAAGTGTATTTGAGTTTGTATCATAACAGAGGGAATCAATTTGGCACTATCATAAGGAAGGTTTACAATATTACAGCTTCTAAAAAACAGGCACTCACCTCACATGTTTGAGGAGGCGTCCTTAAATAATTGCAGCAGTTGATAGATTGTTTAACTATATAAAAACCAAACCAAAAGCAACTGTAACGCATAGATTCAAAGTTTTGAACTCTTTTGAAAAGAAGATGCTTAAAACAACAAGATAGCATACACCCATAAATTGATTGACACCTGTGTGTAGCTGGCAGATCCTCTTCTGAAAGGCTTTAAGATTGTCAAATAGTTGGTGTAAAACATGTTCAATAAATAACCAAATAAATAAATTGAATAAATGTCATATATACTTTAATTTTATTTACCTACCCTCTGCTGAAGGACTGAAAGGTCATAATAATGGATGAAAAAACTTATAAATAAGGACATGAAATAAATTTGATATAAATTTCAGTTTTATCACTTCATCACTTTTGTTTTTGTTTCAGTTTTTGTGGCAGTGGGGTTAACTACAGCGATGAAAATGGGTGAAGAGCCATCCTATATGATGTTTGAGGTATTGGCAGGGTTGTATTTATTTTACCAAGCTCATTGGCAGACTTATGTCACTGGAACTCTAATCTTTAATAAGTAAGTGCAAATACCACAAAATGAAATCCTGAGACTAATGATGTTACAGACACTTGCAAACAAAAGTCAGGAAATATATCACATACCGATAATTGGCATGTGGTTCAGTGAATTTGTGAGATTATATTTTTGTATATATATCACTAGTTTGATATACATAGGAACATTTTTCATTGGCTTGCCCAGTCAGGAATCCTTTATGATGTAATAATATGGACAATGAGGTTACCTGGTATATCATGAATCGAAAATGGTGCACCAAAATGGCTTGATTTTGTTCTTCACTTTATGTATCTTACATTTGTTTTTGTTTTGTGTAAGTTTTTTGATGTAACAAGTCGTAGAAATTTTTATTTTGTAAGTCTTTGTGTTTCATAAATTCTCATATGAAATAAATATGCATTTAAGACCCTAAAAATATTGAATGTACATGTATTTATGGTAGTTACAATTGCGAACCCTACTTTTCCCCCATCAGTTGAAACATATATGTGGACTTTGCATTTTTTTTTCTATCAAGTCAATTTTGGAATTTTTCTAATATATAATAGAAAGTACCCGGTAAATACATATCATAACGTTAAGATATTGGTCTATTAAGAACTTATAAAAAGAGTCTATTTTAAGTAATTAAGTTTTAAACTTGTATCTTTTTAAATATTTTCAGATTTGATGTGACTGAGAGCCAGTTTGGAATTATAGGTGTTTATTTCATGAGTGCAATAATAGGACCTGGAATATGGGACACAGTTGTAAGTTATTTAAACACTACACAGAACACTAACAAATCTTATTATGTATGTATTCTGTATCCTATATATCTACTATCTACACAATAGGATGTAAAGCAACAATTAATGAAATGAAAAATATATATCTCTACCTAGAGTTTAAATAACATTACATCCGACCTCAAAATTTACTCTTTGTTACCCACAAAATATGAGTAAAAAAGTAAAGAAATTGCGAGTTAAAATTATGTGAACTAGAAAGTTTTTGTGAGTTTTTCAACATTTGATTGAAAATTACTAGTGTAATATGCCAATTGGTGCATATCTGTTGTCAGAAATGTTTACCAGTTGTAAGCGTGTCATAAGAGTTTTATTGACAATGATCATTCGGATATGCGGAAATCCTTGAGGTTGACAATAATGTACAGTGAAATTGAACATTCTGAAGCATGTAAGTATGACACGTATAAAAACCTGTGTTTGCATTATGATAAGATTAATGAAAACGCTGCAAAAATTTTTACTGGTCCACAATTCCATTTTCCTAGTTGGCAATTTTTGCCACTCACAAAGGTTTGCAAGTAAATAAATAAGTTACGTTTGGCCCGTGTATGTACCATTATTTCCTGTGAAGTTGTGATGGTGCATCTTCACACACATCTTATTCATCAGATAATGCTTATCTGTTAAATACAAGAGTCAATGCCATTAACCTTTAAAAAAGGTTTGGTTGGTTCCTTAAATCTGTTGCTTTGTTACCTCACGGTATGTAGGGCGATTGGAGTAATGATCCATACAAAAAATAGCAGTCAGTCGCAACATAATTGGAATAAGTTGGTTCTTAGTTTTTGGTATATCAATTGTTTTTTGCCCAAATAATGGGTTTCTTCAGGACAAAAAAATCCTATGTGCCTACATTTATAGTACTTTATGAGTAGAAATATGATAATTTTGTCTTGATGAAGTCTACTGTTGGGACAAATCCATTCCATTTACCAATAAAAAAGATTCAACTTATTCTATGCCTGTCGCATTTAATAGTCATGCTTTATCTGTTAGACTTAAAGTTTTTCATGGAAAAGTCTTGTTTTCTTCAATGATTTCCTGAATAAGCAATCACATTTTAAATAGGACCTTAAATTCTTTTTCATTTGATATGAAATTAATGGAACTTGTCAGAAATTTTTTGTTTTAAATGGACCTTTTGTCATGGTTGTTTCCTTGGGCAAGACACTACCCAAATAGCTCAGGATGGGCCTCCTGTATCTTGTTCAGTGAGGTAACCACCAGCTAGTCAGCTACTACAAGGAGACCCCACCGTCATCATGACTCTGCCTGTTCAAAGACAAAAAACCCCAGGTAACCTATCAACAAGTGTTATTTATGAACAGATGTACTGTATAATGTATGTATTTTATATTTACAGGTACCAGGGGTTGGTATGACTTTACGAGCACTGGCAGTGATTGCCTCGCTTGTTCCAGCAATTTTTCACTGTAGAGATAACCTGAAAATCATCCTCTCTGGAGGCATTGGGAAAAATAAATCAACAATTGCTGTGAGTATAATTTTCTAAGGAATAAGGTATTGTTTCAATAACTTTTTATGAACTGATCCATGACACTTACATGCATGTATGTTGAAAATTTTGAAATCATCTAAATACTCACCACAGAAGTGTTATGCACATCACCTAACATGAAAATCAGTTTTGATATAACAATTATTTTAAAAAACTCTTTAATTTTGGATTGAAAACATGAGAATTTGTCAGCAATGTACATTGTAATGGATTTAATCTTGAAGTGTAATGCAATTTACTTAAATTCATTTGTATCATTAACATTACATAGATGATGCATTCGACAAGATTTGATAGATTTTGCATTTACTGTCAATATTTTATTTTAAAGATCTGCATCGTACTAGACTAAGGTATTAGTTATTCTCAGAAAATTGATTGTTGACAATGATCAAAGGATTTTGTTGTTATCAATTTTGACATGCTGGGTAACATTGAAACAACATGGTAGTTTAGATTTTATAAACAGAAGAAGCATTCTTAAAGAGATATTCCACACAAGTTGGGATTCCATAAGATGGTTTTAAAGAAAACTATACAAAAACATTTATTTATGTTCTTATGGAAATTTTACACCTAAATTCAACATTCAAATAAGCATGATATTTGATTTGCAGAAATTCTTACAGAGCCAGACCCACTCCATTATAGATATTTTTTCATATTTTATTGACTGGGAATGTTGTTGTATACTAATAGATAATATATAAATAAAGACTTGTATAAAGTTTCGAACTTGAAATTGAAAGGGTACCGGAGATATCGGTGCCGGAATTAGTCTCATTAATCAACACCAGGATATGAATATTGATGAGGAAAAGTCACGTGATACATTCAGACGCGGTTAGAACCAAAACAAAAATGGAGGAAGAGGTGAGTAGTATGTCCATGTGACATCGCTTGTAAAGAGATTTTACCGATAAATGCAATCAATACTCTATATATCCTGCTTGGAAATCATCTAACGTATGTATTGATCACATCTTTCAATGCTTAGACTCAAAAATGTGCAGATTACGAGAAAAACTGATTAATTGCAAAGAGACCCTCAAATGGCTGCTACGATACAGTAACGAACATATAGAACTTCGCGGAATGGATCTATCTAAAGCGAATATTTGATGATAAGAGTATTTATGAATATGATTTTAGAGTGATACTCCAGGAGAGAGCCAAACAGAGAGCGATACAGAGTATGAACCAGCCATCTTCCTTCTTTTCGCCTCGGAGTCCGTCAAAACATGTTTTCTTCCCCGCTCCCCTCGCATGCTTTCTGCCATGTTGGAAGACGGCAGATTTATTTACAGTTCTTTGCATAAGCGTCAGAGGGAAGGACTTCCAGCATAATTATGAATTTGTGCTGAGTCATTTCGAATTCTTTTTCAAAACTATTTATTACGTTAGATTGGTAGCGATTTACTTTAAAATTGCGGTATTACAGGGTTAGTCAGAACTTTTGCTACCCGAGAAAAATAGAAAATCATACTTTTTTTTATATGAAATAATATCAGTCAAGGAGTGGGTCTGGCTCTTGAATAGATCTAGCTAGATTGGTGTACAAACGTTTGTGCAAACCTGATTTCATCATAACAGGTTTGCATTGTTATAAGCCAAACCAAATGAAATATTTGTGAAAATCATGAAATCAATAGAAAATAAGGCTTATGAGTAATGAAGTAATGAAATTATAACCCCAGCAGAAATTTTACTGAACAGGATACACACTAGTGTATTTACTCTATATACTCTACATAAAAGCTAGGATCCAGTGACCTTTCAGTTCCAGATTTCCGTATGTGCTGTATTTATATGGCTTGGTTGGAAGTATTCCCACCAAACTGACCACAGGAGAGATATTCTGATTCTAACACTAGTTTTTAAAAGTCAATAGAATGAGTTCTTAAAGGTACAGAACAGCCAGAAATTTTGCAAGTTGGATGGAATATCCCTTTAATAGCAATATACCAAAATAGCTTGCTTGGCTGCTATAATATACTGCTTATTATGATATTTTAGTCAGGAAAATAGAATATCATAAAAAGTGGATTCTACTGTACATATATATGTGTAATGTTTGTCATAGTCTTTGTAAGGAGAAGTTCCTGTATCAGTTTGTATTTGGTTAAAGCATTGTTTTATGTTTGTGACTTTTTCCCCCGATTGATTTAGAACATTTTTGATTGGATGTGTTAACAGGATACCAGTACCATTTTCCCGGTGGTGCCCATAGGCATCGTACTAGGATTAGCCGTTATGATTGCGGTCAAGTCTACATCAAACTTATTCCAAGACCATCCATGTCTATATCTCATTAGCTTTGGTATGGTGACAGCAAAGGTCACCAACAGACTTGTGGTAAGTCCGTGTGATATTATACAAGACCATCCATGTCTATATCTCATTAGCTTTGGTATGGTGACAGCAAAGGTCACCAACAGACTTGTGGTAAGTCAGTGTGATATTATACAAGACCATCCATGTCTATATCTCATTAGCTTTGGTATGGTGACAGCAAAGGTAACCAACAGACTTGTAGTAAGTCAGTATGTCATCTGTGTGTATATCATTAGCTTTGGTATGGTGACAGCAAGGTCACCACCAGACTTGTAGTAAATCTGTGTCTATATCTCATTAGCTTTGGTATGGTGACAGCAAAGGTCACCAACAGACTTGTGGTAAGTCAGTGTGATATTATACAAGACCATCTGTGTCTATATCTCATTAGCTTTGGTATGGTGACAGCAAAGGTCACCAACAGACTTTGTATGGTGACAGCAAAGGTCACCAACAAACAGTGTGTAAGTCTGTGTAGCTTTGTATGGTGACAGCAAAGGTCACCACCAGACTTGTAGTAAATCAGTGTGATATTATACAAGACCATCCATGTCTATATCTCATTAGCTTTGGTATGGTGACAGCAAAGGTCACCAACAGACTTGTGGTAAGTCAGTGTGATATTATACAAGACCATCCATGTCTATATCTCATTAGCTTTGGTATGGTGACAGCAAAGGTCACCAACAGACTTGTAGTAAGTCAGTATGATATTATACAAGACCATCTGTGTCTATATCTCATTAGCTTTGGTATGGTGACAGCAAAGGTCACCACCAGACTTGTAGTAAGTCAGTGTGATATTATACAAGACCATCCATGTCTATATCTCATTAGCTTTGGTATGGTGACAGCAAAGGTCACCAACAGACTTGTAGTAAGTCAGTATGATATTATACAAGACCATCTGTGTCTATATCTCATTAGCTTTGGTATGGTGACAGCAAAGGTCACCACCAGACTTGTAGTAAGTCAGTGTGATATTATACAAGACCATCCATGTCTATATCTCATTAGCTTTGGTATGGTGACAGCAAAGGTCACCACCAGACTTGTAGTAAGTCAGTTGGATAATTTTATCCATGTCTTTATCTCATTACAGTCGTGAGATTGCACAAATAATTAGTTTTTGTGGGAAATATATTTTCCTGGAGTTGATTGACTCTTTTAATCCAAAGAATCATTTGGCCGTGAAGGGATATGTTTAGTGTTAGATATTTTTGGAGCTCTATTTATCCTCAAAATCAAAAGTCCACAAAAAAATTAAGTACTTAAGAAGATGGAATTTATAGTTTTGTAATTCTTTTGATACAATTCTTTAAGTCTAAATTTGAATTGAGTTTTTGCAAAATCTAATGTCTTTTTGATGCCTCTGACAGCATGCCAGTCTAGTTTTAAAGAATGTTAATTTAAGGAGCAGCAAATCTTGTTCAGAATTACCTTGATGATTCTGCCACAGATTTGTAAGGGAATGATTTCTCCCACAATCAGCAAGCACCCGGCACATTCCCACATGTGCTATGGAAAGATAAATCTGTCATTTCTCAGTGAGAAGAGAGCTAACACATGCTCACCACTCACCACATGGTCAAGTCATCACATTGTATTTGTAAAATGTCACAACAGGAAGAAGCCTACTATTTTGGCACTCATTTGATCTTGCATTATGTCTTTAATAACAACAGTTGTTTTAAATGACAAGGAAGCATTAGAGAAAAACCCTGATTACCTCTGTGTCATGGGAACACAGTTATCTCTGTTCTTGTTGTTAAGGTTTCTCACTCGGTAAAGCCTTGTGCTTACTTTTACTTCCTTTGGATAAGATAACTCTGTCGCCATTGCACAGACACGAAAAATTCTGTCAATCCTCAGTAATCTTAATGAAGAAAAAATATAATGAAATCTGTTCTCCGAAAATCATTCAATATTGGCTCGAATGTATGTTATTTCATTATAATTGGGGTTCCTTTTATGCCCAAAAGGTCGGAGACGGACAAAGATGACATAGAATAAGTTATCTGTAAAGACATTTAGTATTGGCGTCTTTGTTTACAGATAGCACATATGACAAAGAGTGAGATGGCGATGTTGGATTCCAGTCTATTTGGGCCAGCCATGTTGTTTTTTAACCAGTATTTCAACGTGCTTGTGCCGGAATACTTGCTTCTTTGGTTATGCTGTGTAAGTTTGATTTATAAACTAGAAAGTGTTTTTTTCACAGACATGTTTGATAAAGTTCACTAAAATCGCCAATACCAATACTGGAAATAGTTATCACTTTGTTTTTAATGCCACCATAGACAAAGTTTGAGGGTTACCCTATTGCGATCCCCTTTTGTCCACTGTCTTGCATTGTAACTTTTTAACATTTTCAACTTCCACTGGAAAGCTCCTGAACTGATTTCAATGAAAAACTTTACATTGCTAAAAAGTGCACCAAAATGTTAATTGTATAGTCCCCAACCCCAAGGGGTCTGAGGGGCAGTGCAAAAAAGGGTCAAATTGATTAAAACTTCAAAAATTTTCTTCTCAAATCCCAGGTATGATAGAATTAAGTACTCTTCATGGATGGAAAGACCTTCAGATGCTTTACCAAAATTGTTAATTTCAGGACCCAAGGGTCTCATTTTTTACCTGGGGAGGGTGTAAAATTTACGATAGTTTATAAAGGAAAATTAAATTTGTGATCATTATTTGTTTATTTTCTAATGAAAGTAATTCCAACATGATTAGAATTATTAGTTTATGATGACAATTTAATGAGATGCTTGTATTGACCTCAGCTGACCCCCAGGTGCTGATGAGCAGGGTAAAAAATGAGTCAAATAGACTGAAATTTCAAAAATCACCTCAATACCCAGATAACATAGAACCTAATTCCCTTCATGGATTGAAGTGTTTTACGGTACTTTATAGTGGAATCAAGTACTTTTCATGGATGGAAATGCCTTCGGATGTTTTACCAAAATTGTAAATTTCATGACTCCAGGGTCTCTCATTTCCTCTTTGAGAGGGGGGTAAAATTTACTCTAATTTTTTAGGAAAGATGATATTTTTGAGCATAATTTGTTTTAATGTTTTATTTTCTTTTAGAAATAGATCAAACTTTGATTTTTTGTTATCATAAGTATAATCTAACAGTTTGATGAGATGCACATATTGACCAGGGGCTGATGGGCGGGGTCAAAAATGAAGGTCATGACCTGATATCAGTGACTAGAAGTTGACAACACTGTATTATGGCATATAGGGTGATCTCTATATAGATTAGTATAGCACACCACAGTATAAAAATAATGTTCTTCCGTAGCTTATCCTTAGGCATTGTATTGATACTATTGGCAAACATACACTCTGGACTGATTCACACTATCAGATACACACTAGACTGATTCACAGTGGACTGACAGTGTAGGCCATAACCAGAACAATTCTAGACATCTTATAAAAAGAGGCATGACTCAAAAGAAAAACTACATGTATACCTTGTTTGTATTTGGCAGCTTTACTGTACGGCAGATATATTGTGGTACTCCAGAGGAGTTTGTCAAGAAATTTGTGATTTCCTGGGGATCTACTGCTTCAACATCACTAGTAAACCGCAGAAAGTTCGACAAACAGATAGGGCAAGTGCCAAGGCCAAGAAATAATCATTCTCTTTATATGTCTCACTCCAAAGGCTGTGTTTCAGGAGCTTAATATTCCAAAGACATTTAAAGAAAAAATTTTATTATAAAAATCAGCAAACCATGATTTTGCGCCATTTAAAGTAATATTTATTTTCATATATATTTGTACTTATTAAATGTTTGCTATCAAAGAAGTGCTGTGTTCACATTGTCAGCAAAATTATCTAATATATATGTGGTGTTTAAAAGTTTTTATTATGGTCGAAATATGTGATTTAAATGATACTATCTGTCGTGTTGTATTTGAAATAAATGTTTATGCTGCATGTTTTGTATTTGTAGTGGGTCATGACAGACTTAAAATTCTTTTTTCCTTTTTAATTATTGATGAGATGATAGTAAATAGAAATTTATTGCCTACTGGAAATTTCCGTATCATTGCTATAGATACACTTCTGTATTTTAAACACATTGAAATGGATTCTTATGGTATATGTTATGATGAAATATAAAAAACAAACAAAAATGGAGGCTAAATGTCACATTTGATACTTAAAATGGTCAATGGTTATGGAGGACTGAAAACTTTCTCATCCATGAGTAACAGGCAGATGTGGAGATTGACTCACAGAGTCAACTAATGAAACAAATCTTTCAATCAATGTGAGAAAAATACAAGAAATTTCGTTACTTGATTACAAATCAAAGAGCACATGTCTTGCTGTGTTGATGCGATTAAAAACTTGGTGATCGGTACGGAACTAATATAAAATATCTAAAATCAGGTACATAATAGTCTAACATTACGGAAATAATATCTGGAAAATCATTTAAAGGAAAATCGATAATTATAGAGTATATATTCCTGCAAGCTGAACATCTCATGACTCTTGAAGATTCCTATATATAACAGTACATTGGGCAAGGTGAGATGCTAAGATTACCACTTACATACCCAATATGTCAAGAAATATGTGTTAACACATAAACAACAACAGGATTTGTGAAAACCTGTGTTTCGACTGAAGCATTGAGATTGTTTTAATGGTCAAAAGCTCAAACTTTGACATAAAAATGACATATAAATAAAATTGAAAAAAAATATTTGATTCTGTAAACAATGATAGCTTTCATTTGTTAAGATGAAAAAAAATATATATTTACATTTGATAAGCATCATCTTGCCATACCTTCATGAATTCGCAACACATTTTTTTGAGAAGAAATTCTTGACCAATGGTCAGTTTCTTCCATCAAAGGACCGGTACTATTTCTCAAGTAATTCAGTTTTGTTTGAAATCCAGTATATCCACCATACCTCGGAAAGAAAGTATCTCAGTTACCGGCATGAGAAAGATATTTGCTTTGTAATCTTTTTAAATGTATTCAAGAGTATACACCATACCATTACTTTGGTCACTGTAATATACATTGAACCAAAACATTTTTTTAAGTATATAAGTCAATCGCAACAGGTTCGGGATAAGTTGATTTTTTATTAGTGTGAAATGTCTACCAGTTTCGCCCCAACAGTGGGCTTCTTCAGGACCCTGCATACCGGGTGGTATCCGGGCAAGGGATATAAAGAACCAACGGAACCGCAATAAGAGTTTACGGCGTTGGCTCTACCCCTGGATTTATGTAAAACATTTTTTTTTTTTTTACTTCACACTTGTCATGATTACTGGGGAAAATTATTGAAGTTTAGATATTCGTGTTAATGAATATTTTCAAATGATTCCATATATGTTTATTTCTTGAGTTCCTGTTTGAATGATATGTATTCGAAATTCACATGGAATATAACTTCACATGGAATATTAAAAGATATGCAGTAAAATTCATTCTTAGATATGCCAATTTTCATTTATTTATAGAATGGAAGATAGAATATATCCCTCAGATGATGTGATCTACTTTTCCGTCTGTTTGAATATAAACTTTGCTGAAATCCGTTTGATAATGAAAGGTGAACACAACAGGTCTTTCTTCTTGCTTTTTATCTTCACCTTTACCAGACATATTGTCTTGGTACTCTGATATATCTGTCCAACAGTTATTCCTCAACTATTAAACTATATCCAATAATAAAATGTGTACATGTAGTTTGATAGTTGGATTATAGAATTTAAATTTTAAAGTGATATGTAATTACATCAGATAAAAATTGTCCTATTAATTTTTACAATGATAGATTATGTCCCTTGGTGATTATGTTTCTCGGTGTTACTTTTTTTATTGTGTCTGTGATTTCTGTGTCTGGATGGAATATTTGGTAGCATATTATTTGTAGATTCTAACAAATTTGGAATAGTTAGAATACACAATGCCAGTATTTTATTGTGTTTTGAAGTGATATACCACTGTGTATATGTAAAGGGAAGTACAATGTAATTCAGTTGTCTCCATTTTAATTTTAATAATTTGGCTGGTTCAAATGATTGTTACTTAGTTACAAGTTTATCACGTGATATGGACAGACTTTAAGTCAAACTATGTTTGAGAAATTCCTAGTCCTCTGTACTTTTTTGTTTCTTCTACAAATGTAGAAAAAAAATGTTCCTTTTCTCTTTATTGTGTAGTGTCAAAAGGTCTGCATTCACATCACATACATTGTGGATGCATAATTCCACTTTCTCTTATTTCTACCTATGTAATACTAGTCTGTTTATTGTAATATCCCCATGTTTACCGAATATGGATTATGCATCTGCCGTTGTACTACGCCCTCACACAAGCCGTAATACGAGACTAGTTTCATGGATATAATTTATAAAAAATACTACAGAAAGATTTGAGGTACAAAAAAATGTGACTGTTAATTTTCCAGGATTTTATTTGTAAAAACACAATATCAATGGAAATAGTTTTGTATTTTTAAATTCATAAGGAATTGTGCAGAATTTTATTTTAATGCACATGTATGTAATAAGTTGACAATTGACTAAATGATTCACCTTATCAGTTTTGAATATGGCTTGACTTGACACGATATAAATATTGGCTTTGAGTAATGATGTTTATTGTTGATATTGCTTTTACAACTTGGACCTTGCTAAATACAGGCGTGGATAATCGATATATGCTACTAATGCAGAGCCTCAGGTTTCAGAACATTATTTTCATTTTTCGGATGAAATATATCTATCCTACATTAACACATATAAGGGTATATAAATAGTCTTGTATTAAAATCTATGACTATTTATATAGGGCTGAAGTTACAAACGTATAAGATATACATACCTATCTATATCACAATGGCTCATTGTGATCTATTTTCTTTCTTTAGGAAATACATCCCTAAATTCTTATTCCAATGTTTATGTTGTCTGGTTACAGTAAACGTGGACTGTGTGAAAAAAAATCGGTGTCATTTCTATCTGTTAAAACATTGTAATGCAACAATCTGTTAAGGTGTCTCCTTATGGTTGGTGTGAATTGTAAATGTATATTAAGATATGGTTTTTGGTTTTTGTTTTTCCTCTTAGATGTGAAGTGTTATATATAATGGCAGTTTCATGCAGACATGTCTCTCATGTTGATACATTTTTCAAACGATAACCTTACAGTTCAGATGAATATGTGAATTTCATAAGCATTCAATAATTAGTGAAATGGATTCCAATACCTCCATTTTCACAAAATCTGAGAGTTTGATTTTTCTATTTGCTCTGCATGCATCCTTTTAGTATGTTATGTAAAATTCGAAAAGTTGCCAGTTAGCAGTTCTGTCATACTTTCTGTGATTTGCAGCGTTTTATTCTTACACAAGGTTATTTAATATTTAAATGCGTTATGCATTCAACAGGTTGCCTTTAAAATCATATTTCTTAAGTTAATGAATATTTGTAGGCTTAAGTGACTAAATCATTCCATGTTTGATAAGTTATTTAACAGGAGGATTTCTAGTGGTAATTCCTGTCATCATTTTTTGAATGATTACAAAAGAGTTTATCTATCCAGTAAACCATTAATTTTTTTTTCAATCTGTGTATCTGTTTTTATAGAGAGTGTATTGATATTGATATAACATATATGTAATTTGAATTTTAAAGAAAAGTTTGGTGTATGATTTTGATTCATTCAAGATATTTAAGATGTGTTCGATAGAAAGAGGTAAATATGCTGTTCTATGACAATTGAAAATATTATTTGTTCAAGCAAATGGTTGTTACTATTAGAAATCTGAAAAAGATATTAAACTATGAACTTTGTTTTTTGTTTAGTATAGAATAGAAAAGATGACACATTTGTACTTTGATACTTTCCTATGTGAATCAGATTTATTTTACAGGTAAGGGAAGTATTGTTGTTTTGTTAGATTATACAGTACAGATACTTCGTAATCACAAGTGGTTTGTTGTAGGCAGGTTTTTTATAGGATATCATAACTACATTACTTTCTGATATATATTAATATATATATTAAATCAACCTGGAACTCAGGTTTCTAAACAAATGATTTTCAAGGTAGTTGGTTTTGAGTTTTCCATTCAACAAGTTCATCTTTGATCAATATATAATTTCACGTCAAAGACAATTTTACAAATCATTGCTGATTGTCAGGTTTAATATTACACTAGTAATGCATGCAAAAATATTACATATGTGAATTCATGATGTATCAAGAAGATAAAATGTAATTCATTAATATGAAAGAGGGTGAGAAAGACGAGTTAAAGAAGGTCCCATATTTAAACAAATTCTAGGTACCTCTAATTATCATTAAAAGTAGTTGTTAAACATCATCAAAACTGATAATGCTCAATTTCCATATTAGAAGAACAAAGTTCTGCAGAACTGTCAACCATATAGGGTATTTAAACCATGATATTATAGAAGCTCTTTACATTTCTTAGGGTCAGTATTATTTATGTCAAAAAGCTGAAGATTTAAGTATCACTTTGTGTGTGGTTGTTTGAGAAGTTAAACAATGTATATACAGCATGTGCATTGTCTTTGTGAAGAAAACATTTTTATTTTATCTTTTTTTTAAACTTTGTGAGAAATGCTTTTAATCCACATTAATTATTCTAAAATTTTTCATGGAAGTTAATAATCCAGCTCAAAGTTTTCCATGGCTCTGCTTATGATAAAATTCTTTGAACATGCTTTTAATTTAAACAATTTTTTCATTATTAAATTGTTATAATCTATATTATACTTACTCTATTGTTCATCAGAAAATCAGATATGTCATTCATTCAGTATGAATTAGATATATATATATATATGTAGAAGCTTTAGTTTACTTTCCAAATTCTTTCTCTATTCTGTCAAAATATATCAGCACACTGAAAAAATGTCTGCATATAAAAGTAGAAAACAAAGTACAATTGATGTTCTGTCAGCTTCCTTAATTGTTTAGATTAAGTGGTAAATAATACCTTATTGTAAAACTATGTATTCTATTTACTCAAAATCAAATCCCTTAGTTCTCTTTGAATGATGGAAAGATCTTCTAGAAGACAAAGTAAAGTGAGATATCTGATTTTGATTAAAGCCCACTACATCAGAATGGACCAGAATATCTTACTGTATTTTCCAGCAATAAGCCTGACCACTTTTCTGTAGAAGTTTCAGTGATTGCCCGTTTGTCATCAAACTGAGTCCAAGATTGTATCTTAGCTCCCCAGGCTTATTTCAGCATAAATTCAGGCATTTTAATCAATGTGTCTGATGTTACTCTTGTTCAGAAATTTCAATTGTGTAACCCGGTGTAAACAACCATTTGAAGATATGTGTATATGATTCACCTGATCTGAGAATGGCCAGTATTTTAATGGAACTGTTTCAATGGCATTTGTGGTGTTGTCCATGTACCAAATAAATGTTTTGTTAGAGACAATGTACTGATAAGTACAGGAGTATTCTCCTACAGTTCTTTTGTTCCAAACTTAGGATTCTCGGATAACTAATTTTGACTGTTGTGTCTTCAGAGATGTACATCCATGTGAACATACAGGTACAGTGGAAACCACTTAATGTAATGTCAGTTAATATCACTTTCTGGTTAATATCACAATTTCTTTTTCTCTTTTGTACATGTAAATCGGAAAATAAATTGACATGTGTTCTCAAAATCTGTATTTCAGGATTCAAACAATCATAGACATGTATCATTTTTTAAAAATGAAGGTACTGGATTAGAGTGTACAGAATATATTATAAATGTGGTGTTCAGAGTAGAGGATATTATAACATAACATTGTAATCACATACTAACTATTAGCATTTGCCAGGTGTTTCCTTGTTGGTCAGTAAAATGTATATGGAAAGTGAAAGTAAAAACCAAAACAACACCTAATCTTATACTGTAAACATACTGAATTTGACATGATCAAATTTTAGTACATGTACAAATTAATTCAACAATAAATCTATACATCCATAACATATCAATGTAAATTAATATATCAGAAGCACAGGGAAACTGAAATTAGTGCAGTCATATTTGGTGCAATCCTTTCAGTGTGAAAAGTCCTGAAGAATATTACTGCAAAAATATGTTTGTTTGTTGTACCTTATTACAATTGTGTTATAATGGTAAATATCTATAAATAAACATGTTGCATCCTATACTACAATTAACAGATGCTGATTTGAAATTTCAGATTTTAATTACGTGTCATAATTATATCAAGATTGATGTGATGTAAATTTTACCTGTATTGTTGGAAATGGACTAGCTTGTTGATATTTGTATGAAGGTTTGTAGGATTTCGTAGAAGGTTTGTGGGATTTCTCTATATCAGCTGAGTTTCTACACATAGCTTTATTGATTATAATATTAGTATATATACCAACAAATATTTACCAATGGTATGGTTTGTAAGTGGCGATCGAAGTTTGAAATATATGGTAAGGAAGTTTAAATGTTGTGGAGTCAACCACACGTTATAATTGGTTTTGGTAGTTTGTGTATTAGCTTTACAATACAAAAGATAGATTTTGATTTTTTTTTCTCTTTTTTTTCTCTCTCTCTTTTGTGCATCAATATTTTTGAAATACAAAGTGTCAGGTGAATACGATTCTTACCGGTACGGCTTTCTTTGAAAAGTCATTTTAGTAATATTCATATATGAATGAATGTGAAAATGGATTAGTGTGCAAGTTGTTGACAAATAAAGATCAATTTTCATTTTACAAGATTTCTTATTATTTGAAATTAATACACATCTTACTAATTGAAAATGAGTGATAATTTACCTTTATCTCCATAGTGATGAGAGGAGGGAATCTTGAAGTTAATTGATTTTACCCCAAACATAGAAACATATACTCCTTGTGATTCTCTTCTAGTTCCGTAACCATATTTATCCCAATTTATATACACAGGGACTTGACACAATTGCCACCTCCATTGTCTTCATATATTCTGAATTTCTCTTAACTTTTATAAGGGCCATGGGCTGGAGAATTTCAAATTGCTAAGTCCCTGTGTTTACCTATGGCAAGAAATGGAGAAAATATTGAAATCTGTCAAGTCAGCTAAAATTAGATTAAATCTCTATCTTCAAGAAGATTTGGAAAAGTTACAAAAACTTATTTTTATTATTAGTATATGCATGAGATGTTGATGAAAAGTGTTCTTAATTTTCAGCCCACCATCTTCAGCTCTTCATCTTCATCTGTGGTCCATGGTCTGTTTCCTGTAAAAAATTTTCGTTATTGCTGTTCCTTGTATTTTGACATTGAAAATTTGCAATTAATAAGGTTGTGCCAGTTTGATATTGGAATTGATCAGAAAAACAAAAAAAGACGAAAGGCAGCCATTTTGGATTTTGTCTAGTTAAGTTTGTTATCGCTAGTTCTGCATGGATCTCTTTCAAATTTCAGATGTATGTTCCCCTTGGTCCGTAGCTGTGCCATTTTGACTTTGGGATTGACCAGAAAAAAACAAAACGGCTTCCAGGTGGCCATTTTGGATTTGGCAGTTAAAGATTATTATCATTATTTCGGCAAAGGTTTCTAATCATTAAGAGCAAAAACAGAGAACAGAAAAAGATCCAACTTTCAAAGAACAAATAAAATCAAACATTGGTGAGGACAATGATCCTTCTGTGATCTCTTGTTTCAGTGTGGTAAAACTAAAAAAATGTTCCAAAATTGCATATATATTGTATTGCCTTACTTGTAGAATGTCTTAAAAAAACAATTGTATGAACAAAATTTTTATACATTTTAAAATAATTAAAAAATAATTCAACACCGCAAATATCTTTCACTATTGTTTTCAGGTCTAAGAAAAATCAGAATCTTGAATGACAAACACAACACATCTTAAAGGCATGGTCCTTTAGACAAAATGTCATATGTGTTCTAGGTATTGAATGAAGGGGTTTTAAATGTACAAATCATCTTAAGAATGCACCAAGTTACTGAACTTCTTGCATTCCAATGCATGCAAAGATTGTTGTGGAAATGGTTTTGAGGCGAGTAGCACAGAATTCCTTTGATAAGTGCCATGGCCAAATGAAGACTTCAGTGTAATAGAATGATTCAGCTAACACAACATCGATGCTGCAACACCAACTGACATTTGTTTTTGCCTTCACGGGTCATATTAGGATGTTGTGTGTCTAGAGGGATGCAAAGAGATGTAGCAAAAAGAAAGAGCAGATGGGAAAGAAAGGAAAAGATTAAGATAGATCCCAAGAGCTGTAACAGGGGCAGCAGATCTGTTTCGGTCTCTTCAATGTTCTTGCTGGCGTTAAGAAGACAAGAAAACTAATAAAATTTGCAAATGGCCATTTAAATTGCCTCTTGTGATCATAAAGTGAAATACAGCAGACCATATTCTTGAACTCGCTGATGTCCCCTTAACAGAGGATATCAGAATCACCTTTCTCAACTTGCAAGGTGTTCCATAGGGTGTTGCCTCTTATAACATGCAATGAGATACAGCAGTGATATTTTAATCTTTCCATGTCGGATACATATGTCACTACGGATTGATATTGCTAGATTAGCTTTTTACATGATGGTCACACTTAAGTGATAGCTAACTTGCAACAGTTGAAAAAAAAAAAACATCAGATTACAAATCACCGAACAACAGACATCCTCGTATACAGTGCGCTCATGTTTAATGCAGATTTTTTTTACTTGAAAAGAAAAAAAAATGATTAAATCACAAAATAATAATAATAATGAGTAAAAAAGACCAGATGTGATTTGGTATTTGACAGTTGTTAGAATTTGTCCAAACGCACATACTGAAGGCGTGTCACCATTGGCTCTTATTATCCAAACATAATACGGCATTTATGGTGCTATATCGTGGTATTCAAATATCTCAATTTGTTGCATTTTGCGATTTTTTATGACAGATAACTTTGCCTCACGTCAAAAAAGATGGAGGAAATGTTTATGTTGCATTGCTATATTTCAATGCAATTGATACAAAAAGCGTATTGAAATAAGGAATAAAGTCGTGATTCGGTTAGTCTATACAGATTGACAGAAACGAAAGTAACATTGGTTGCGTCCCTTGTAAAAACTGTCTTCTAGGCGGCGCTGATATAGTACTTCCTTTTTGGGAGCATAACTTGGCCGGACAGTTGACACTTTTCGAGTTTCGGGTAAGGTTTCATTTTTCTCAATTTAAATGCAGTAGAAATTGGCAAAAGTGTTTATAAGATACAACAACGGAACCGATTACATCATGTAGATCTGCCTTACAAACAACATTCGTCCGAGCCTGACAGCCAATTCATGTTACAATGTTTACAAAACGTCACTCATTGCCAGGTGATCACTCTGACAGGTGCATGATTGCGACATCTTCATTGAAATTCCAACGCATCCCCTGAATTCAGACCTAAAAGATAAAATGCACTTACCTTGGATATATTTGTGTTCATATAGTTAATACACTATTACATAGTTGTATTAGCAAATAAAAAAAAACATTTTGAAAAATATATAAATGAAGAAAATGGCAATATCTGAAAGTGAAAGAGATCACTCTTCATTCCCAAACCTTATACTTAGATGAATGAAACAAAGTCTCTGACAAGGTTGTATTGTTTTGGAAAGTTGAGGCTCTCTCTATTTTGCGAGACTTTGTATTGTATGACTAGTAAGTTTAATATACGGTTTTGGATTTTTTTCGGTATACATTAGTATTTTATTCAGGTATAATCATACAACACTGTTTTAAAGATAATTCAAGGTGATGAACACATACTATTATTTTTCTTATTTTAAAGTTGCTTTGGTATCAAAATGAATTTCAAAACTTTGTTAAGTCAGTGAGCTTTTTCTTTCCTATGCCTGTTAAGATACTGCTCAAAATTCAGATTTATTTATTCAAAACCCTCCTTTTCCATTCTTACTGTTTGTGGCTCATAACATTTCCACCATTTTAAACAGATAATATGTTGTATGTAGAGTAAGCAGATTTCAGCTAAACTCAGAGAAACCAAAAAGTGTATTGCTTTTGCAGATTTAAATGTATCAGGAATTATCTCAATGTATCCATTAATCTGCACTAAGGAACCAGCCATACAATAGGTAAAGTCATTTAGAAAATACTAATATTTTTCCACAGTTATTTGGAAAAATTGCAGTAAATGTTGTAGGAGCTTAAAGAATTAAAGATACTTATATACCTGGGTACATATTACCTGTAAGCTTGTACATTTCACCTTGCAGGCATGTAGCCAAGCAGTTTTTATATTAACATGGACAGTACTGAAATGGAAGTCCCTTGTAGCCTGATGTAGGGGGTTTGGGGGCATGACAACAACATTCAGACCTAATTGTTAATTAATTCATTATCAGGACTATTAAGAACTTTTTAATGTCAAGCCTGCAAATATAGGTTTAGCTTGAATTTTTAAAACTTATTTGGATGCTGGCATATACATGAACATTACAGATGACTCAATTACAAATGAAAAACTTTACACTCAGCCTTAAAATATTAAGTGTAAAAGCATATATTCATAATAAAAGTGCTCGTTTAGAAAGTCACCAGATGTATACCTGACCAATGAGGAAAATTTAGACGGGGTATCGTGACACAACCCTGATCAGTTCGTGTTATCTTGTATTAGTACACTAGTCAATAGAATTTATCAGAAAGATAACATGTGAATTAGGTTAGATTTTGAGATAATGTTGTACAAATGCTGTATGTAATAAACGATCAAGGTTTATGTATAGATAGCTGTATATTCAGTGATCAACAGCTGTTGCCTGTCAGAGGTCAGTGTATAGGGACAGTGACGAGTACTTCCAGATCACTTATCTCACCTAAATGAGAAATTTATCCCACTGAATATACATATTGTCAAGGTAAATCTCTGGATCAGTATATGTGTGTGCAAATACACATACCATTCAACAGATGTCATCAAATTTGTTATCATCTGAATAACCTTCCCCATTATCCACTTTGATGAGATATATAGTAGGCATACACTTTGATTTATAATCATTGCCCTGGCTACATATCTTTCAAATCTAAAGGTTTTAGAACATCTGCTCTCTGTAAAAATTATATTTTACAATCACAACACCTCAGGGAAATTTCAGATTTGATTTCTTAGGGTTGCTAAAAATTTCACTAGATGTGATTGGTCTGTTTTGCACTTTATCAGGTTTTTTTACATATCCAAATCAACTTTTTATAGAATTTCCACATAAAGTTATCACAGGTATAGACAAAAATTCCACAGACAAAGAGGATCCTGTTGTGTATATCAAATGTATCTATGGCTCCTATTGGGTCATTGGAGTTAGATAAAGAAAATATGTAAATAATAAAATTGTGAAAATAATAAAAATAATGAAATCAGAAATGAGTTACTGAAAATTAGAAAATGAAATATTGTTTTTTAGACTGGATATTCAGTCTACATCGAGCAATAGTTTATGATTTTATATATTGGTTCCATTGTAATAAGAACCTTTATGGTATAAAGTATTTGTTTAACAAAAACTCAGTTAAATTCCATTTATTTGTTAGAATTTGTTTTCATATTTTTTATATCTAGCTTAAACTGTCAACATGGCAACAGTTCCCTCGATCACAGAGTTTTACCAGGACAAAAGTGTGTTCATCACAGGAGCCACTGGCTTTATGGGTAAAGCCTTACTGGAGAAACTACTGAGATCATGTCCAGGCATCCGTCGAGTCTACATCCTCATCCGACCCAAAAAGGGCAAGGAAGTCAGTCAGAGACTGGAGGAGTTACTCAACTCAAAAGTGAGTATACTAAGTGAGATAGAAGAGCTACTCTGAAGTGAGTATGGAAAGGGATATAGAGGAGTTAATTAACTCAAGAGTATAGTAAGAGAGTTAAATGAGCTTCTTTGATGTGAGTATAAAAAGGAATATTACAACTCAAAAATGAGTACCAAAAGGGAAATGGAGAAGCTTCTTTGAAGTGAGTATATAAAGGAACTATTCAACTCAAAAGTGAGTACCAAAAGGGAGATAGTCTAGAGTAGTTTCCTAGAAATGATTGGTTTATAAAAATTCTCAAGTTTTACATTTAATTAAGCTTGCTTTAACTTTTTCTATTCAACACCTTAAGAATAAAAAAAAATCTATTTTCTCATGTATACCAGGTACATGTCTTTCATTTGAATTTCTGTTCCATTTCACATTTACATCAGAAGCTTTTAGTTAACTGATCTACCTTGTTCCATTTTTTCCATCAGATTTTTGACCACGTCAGTAAAGAGCAGCCAAACTACAGGGACAAAGTGTACCCAGTGACTGGTGACATTCTCCATGATAACCTAGGAGTATGTGAATCAGATGAGAAGTGTCTAATTCAAGATGTATCTCTTGTTTTCCATTCTGCAGCCACTGTCAAGTTTGACGAACTGATGAAGTAAGTTCACAGACATTGGCCAGTTTTATAGAGTGGTGTGCCCTATAACAGAGACACTGATTCAATCAACTTTCACACGGGTTCAATTCCATAATCAATTTCACTCGGGCAAGATTGATTAAGTAAATTTGTTATTTCAAAATATACATACAGTGGTTGTTTTTGTATATTTTTCTGTTTCGTATCTGTAAATTCTCATTTGAAACCCTGTCATCACTCAAGCATCACATAGCCAATATCATGTAAAGTTATAATGATCAGTGAAATGTTTTAAATACAGCTATACCAATAAGTGACAGAAATTCAGAGATACTGGAAATTTGTACAAAAGTCTTGTGCTATGGTAATCTGCCAATCGTTTTGCAAATGTAGGTCTGAATTAATTTACTGATGACATTGAAATGAAATAACACCTGTTAGACCTGTTCACTAGCTCTGATTTTGCTTGGTTTACTGTAAAATCTCTAATTTACATAGAGGATTTATGTTAGTTGATTTCGTGGGAGCTCTTAATCCACAAGTTTTTAAAATAAATATATTTGTTAATTTTTTAGCCATATTTATTCACAAAATCAAATGTCCACAAAATACTTATTTTTTTGAAAAACCACAAAAATTGAGTCCCACAAATAATATGTTGTATGCTTTTACATGGTATTGTTTATCTTCTTTTTGATCCAAATTTCAATGGGTAAACATTTGTCATTGAATTATGGAGCTCTGGTTATATATCTTCTCTGTTTGACAAATTCCAAGCATGAAAAACCTTAACTCTGGTTCAAAATTAGTACTTCTATTGGCCAAATCATATTTACGTCTTCATAGTACAAAAAATGTAACATAGAAAAATTGTTCAACTCCTTTTCTTTCCAAGACCTTCTTAAGATACTGGACTCTGTTTTCTAGATTAATTCTGATGATTTATCTTTTCCAGACTCTCTGTAGAAATGAATGTTGTAGGAGTCAGCAGAATGATAACTTTCTGTAAGAAACTTCAAAACCTCAAGGTAAGAACTGTGCATACTGTAGTGGGTATGTAACACTTACAGACAATACCTGTAGTTTTATGGTAAAAGTAAACTTCAAAACCTCAAGGTAAGATCTTTGCATACTGTAGTGGGTATGTAACACTTTCAAAACCTCAAGGTAAGAACTGTGCATACTGTAGTGGGTATGTAACACTTACAGACAATACCTGTAGTTTTATGGTAAAGGTAAACTTCAAAACCTCAAGGTAAGAACTGTGCATACTGTAGTGGGTATGTAACACTTACAGACAATACCTGTAGTTTTATGGTAAAGGTAAACTTCAAAACCTCAAGGTAAGAACTGTGCATACTGTAGTGGGTATGTAACACTTACAGATAATACCTGTAGTTTTATGTTAAAGGTAAACTTCAAAACCTCAAGGTAAGAACTGTGCATACTGTAGTGGGTATGTAACACTTACTGACAATACCTGTAGTTTTATGGTAAAGGTAAACTTCAAAACCTCAAGGTAAGAACTGTGCATACTGTAGTGGATATGTAACACTTACAGATAATACCTGTAGTTTTATGGTAAAGGTAAACTTCAAAACCTCAAGGTAAGAACTGTGCATACTGTAGTGGGTATGTAACACTTACAGACAATACCTGTAGTTTTATGGTAAAGGTAAACTTCAAAACCTCAAGGTAAGAACTGTGCATACTGCAGTGGGTATATAACACTTACAGACAATACCTGTAGTTTTTTGGTAAAGGTAAACTTCAAAACCTCAAGGTAAGAACTGTGCATACTGTAGTGGGTATGTAACACTTACAGACGATACCTGTAGTTTTATGGTAAAGGTAAACTTCAAAACCTCAAGGTAAGAACTGTGCATACTGTAGTGGATATGTAACACTTACAGACAATACCTGTAGTTTTATGGTAAAGGTAAACTTCAAAACCTCAAGGTAAGAACTGTGCATACTGTAGTGGATATGTAACACTTACAGATAATACCTGTAGTTTTATGTTAAAGGTAAACTTCAAAACCTCAAGGTAAGAACTGTGCATACTGTAGTGGGTATGTAACACTTACAGACAATACCTGTAGTTTTATGGTAAAGGTAAACTTCAAAACCTCAAGGTAAGAACTGTGCATACTGTAGTGGGTATGTAACACTTACAGACAATACCTGTAGTTTTATGGTACAGGTAAACTTCAAAACCTCACGGTGAGAACTGTGCAAACTGCAGTGGGTATGTAACACTTAGAGACAATACCTGTAGTTTTATGGTAAAGGTCCCAATTATTTCGTTATCACAGGATTGCATCATAACAGGTATCTTTCCCATTACTTAGTTATCACAGGTCTGTATTATAAGTTATCACATGTCTGTATTATAAGTTATCACAGGTCTTTATTATAACAGGTATCTTTCCCATTACATAGTTATCACAGGTCTGTATTATAACAGGTATCTTTCCCATTACATAGTTATCGCAGGTCTGTATTATAAGTTATCACAGGTCTTTATTATAACAGGTATCTTTCCCATTACATAGTTATCACAGGTCTGTATTATAAGTTATCACAGGTCTGTATTATAACAGGTATCTTTCCCATTACATAGTTATCACAGGTCCGTATTATAAGTTATCACAGGTCTGTATTATAACAGGTATCTTTCCCATTACATAGTTATCAGAGGTCTGCATTATAAGTTATCACAGGTCTGTATTATAAGTTATCACAGGTCCGTATTATAAGTTATCACAGGTCTGTATTATAACAGGTATCTTTCCCATTACATAGTTACCACAGGTCTGTATTATAAGTTATCACAGGTCTATATTATAACAGGTATCTTTCCCATTACAATTAATCACAGGTCTGCTTTACAATAGGTATAACTGGAAAACCCTGTCTAGCACTTGAACTTGTATCTACAATCTACCAAAGACCACTAATGTATCAAGTATAATGAGATATTGTATAAAGCGGAAATATTTTTTCATGCCTTCTCAATTTTAGGGTTGGGAGGGTGACCTGTAATGTTGCCAATGTCTGTCCCATCCGGTCATGTCAATTTTAGTTCAAAGTCAATGTTTGTTTGAGAACCTCGGAACAGATTTGGTTCCTCCTATACACCCTGTAATATCATAAGTTCCACACCTCGTCATACTAGGCTGGTCATCAGTCTAGGTTAAAGGGTCAAAGGTTACAAATGACAACTTATGCAAATGCATGAAAGAATACATTTTGCACTTATATGCATGTCTAATAGACTATTTCTGGTATAATTATATTTACCAGAATCATATTCCTTGATAAAAACTTTATCCCTTCATTGTAGTAAAACTGCTGAATAATATATCATTTTTACAGTAGATGTTACTTATGTTGGCCTAAGATAAAGACTGATCTAACATGACCTTCTGCAAGGGCGAGAATCAAACATACTTCATAACTAACATACTGTTGAAAGATTGATAATGCATGAAAGTTAAGTCATTCATTGTTTGAAGTTCGGAATTTGTTAAATTAAATATGTCTTGCAGGCCTTAATCCATGTGTCTACTGCCTATGCCAATTGTAACCAGCCCAAGAATATTGAAGAGAAGATTTATGAGCCACCTCTACACCCTCACAAAATCCTGGATGCTGTTGAGTAAGTCACCACAGAGTGTGTTACTTGTTACATCCTCACAAAATCCTGGACACTGTATAGTAAGTCCTCACAGAGAAAGTAACTCACTTCACCAACACAAAATCCTGGTTGTTGTCAAGTAAGTTCTCTGAGTTTCTAACCCGCTGACAAGGTATCGAAGTGGTAATTGTTCACATGTAAAAGTATCACAGTATCAGTAAGATTGGATCCATACTCATTTTATCATTACTACCAATTGTTATCTGTGTAAGTGAAAAACACATGTACAGTCAAAACTCATTATCTTGAAATTCAACTCAAATGGAATTTTGACTCAACCAATCTGAGACAATGAGGTTCAAATGTATGTTGATTTATAAGTAATATATTTTGTGTACTGCTGTCCAAGGACCAACATTATAATTTCTAACTTACTCAAGGTCAGGTGTTGGGCCTTTTTCGGGACAGTGAATTAAATTTATTTATCATTTTACTGAAAAGCTATATATATTTCAAGAGGCTTATTAAATTGCATGGAAGAAACATTTTAAGGCTGCTGTATACATTTAATTACAATCTGGTATTGTGTTCAGACTTTTGATGGAAGAACATTTTAAATACAGCAACATTTACAGCCACATTTGTCTGAATATTGTATTTCTAGTCTGAAAAACATGGAGCTTGGTTTGAAGGAGGTCAAGGTAGAGGGGGAAATCTAGAGAAGTAAAAAGTTTTATTGACTTTTCACATGAATTTATAACATCACATCACAAGAAATAGGTTTTATTACCATGTAGTCTCTATCAGTTATCAGAACTACATTCACAAATTTTATAGAAAAAAAGTTTTGAGTCATGATAATGTGAAAAAAATGGAATCAAAAACAGAAGACAAATCAGACTTATCAATTATCAGAACTACACACACACGCTTTACAGAAAAAAGTTTTGAGTCACGATAATAAAAAGGTAAAATTGAAAACTCAGGACAAATCAGAGTTTTGTTTCACCTCTGAAAGGATTGTACAAAAGTTACTCTAGTGAGTAAGTAGCACCTTTGATAATAAATTTTTAATTAAATTTTTTTTACAATAAACATTACCCTCTTTTTTCCTCAGTTGGATGGACACAGATATACTGAACGCTCTGACCCCAAAGATGATCGGTGACCGGCCTAACACTTACACCTACACCAAGTCTATAGCAGAGTACCTGGTCAAAGAGGAGTGTGCTGATATCCCTACCGCTATATTCCGTCCTTCTATAGTTGGTGCCACCTGGGATGACCCTGTGCCTGTGAGTGTGTTGATTATCATCAAGTGAACTGTAAAACAAAAAGGCTTTTAGAATTTATACTTCATTTATCTTACGAAAAATAGGTATAAAGGGTTTTTATTGATCACGTTTAAATGATCATTCTGGTTTGCTTGAAGTGTATGGGAAATCTGACTGTGGGAGGAAACTGGAGTACAAGGGGGAAAACCCACGTAGTTGGATCAGTGACACCATTGTAAATCACATTCAGGCGGGGAATCTAAATGGTTGTTTGTTTTTACTTGATATTATACAGTCTTTTACTAACAGCTATTTTGACAAAATCTTTTTGAGAAAAAACTGTGAAAATTGATTTTAACATTTGAAATTTTTTTGTACATGGCAAAATAGCCTGATCAAAATTTCTCATATTCTGTATCACTTGCAGGGCTGGGTTGACAACTACAATGGGCCAACAGGGCTTCTAGCAGCAGTAAGTATGATTAAATTCTGGTCTGTCCGTGCCAAGTTGAAGTTACCTAGTCAGAAACCCTGAAAATAGATCCTGACTAGATAAACAAGTTATCAGATAAAGTGAATTTGTTTGTAAAGAAATTATTTCACAACATGGTTTGACATTTTATTGATAACTTCATACAAAAAAATTCTTGAAAAAATCATAAAAAAACAATCTGCCTCTTAGCTCACATATTCCAAAAATAGTGCATGGGAAATCACCATGGCATCAGGATAGCGACCTAGGTCAAAAGTTTTACTGCAAGTTATAAAATCTGTATAACATCAAATGTATGCCAATATGTAGGATGCCAGTATTCAGTCTGAGAGTAGTTTTGGGATTTGTGATTCTTTTAACATTGAAATGTGAAAGTATTTTGCTATAAGAAATAAAATTTGGACATGTTTGGAAATTAAGTTGTTTTTGAAATACTATTTGTAGGAGGATGTTGGGTTTGGTCGGTTTTCGGTTGTGTGGTTCATTTACTAGGGAATGTCAAATAACTTTCTAAACATGATGGAATTTTGACATGTTGGGAAATTAAACTTTTGCTGGATTACAGTTCTGAAGTATTGAAGTACTTAGACGTGTACTTATTGGAATTGAGGGGTTGGTATAGAGATGTACGTTATTTAACTACAGAAGACAAAAAAATGATATATTTTAAAATTCTATCTTGACATGTTTGGAGACCTTGTTGTTTTCATTTGCATTATTGTATACAATAGGTGCCACAAAGATGATTCTATAACATTTATTAATTTAGTTTTTCTGTTTCTTGTAAGGACTGAATCTTAGTCGGGAATGGCATGAGATAAGTCATCAGTAATGGGTATCATTATCTACTTTATAGAAGAATGTTAATTACACGGCCTCATGTCACTTTACAGCCAGGTTTGAGAGGTTAAACTTTGATTAAACAGAAAATTTTACAGTCTTAAGACCTAAGTCGATGACAGTATAATAGTAACTTTGTTAATTTATCCGTGATATCTTTAAATAAGACCTGTATTACTTATGTTAAAGATTGGGTGTGGCTTACTGCGGATCATGAAGGGAGATTTCCATGCCACAGCTGACATCATCCCTGTAGATTTCACTGCCAAGATGATGATAGCGACGGCTTGGTACACCGTGGTACATAAGTAAGACATCGCCATAGAGTTGTTCAGTGACTTGTCTTCTTTCCAAGATAAAATTCGTATAATATTTCTATATTGTAAAAAGATTAAAAGCCCTATGCTGCTTCTGCTTTACATTGTTAATACATACTGCAGATGTTGATGATTTAGCTGTAATTTTGTTGTCATGGGCTTTGTGTTGAAAGCAAAGAATAATGATTGCTTGGTAACTTTACTAGTGTTGTTCTTTTACAGCAATTGAATCACTGTGTTGATTTAAACTGCTGATCTGGTAAAATTGGTGCTTTACTAATGGAGATTTGAAATAATCAAAAGAAGCGTTTTTAGATCATCTGACTCGAAGGGTCAAGATGACATAGCCATCATGCTTCATCTTTTGTGTTGATCGTAAACTTGTTGTTTAAAACCCTACTCCTCTTTCATACATGTATAGATTTTATGGATTTTAACCAAATTTGGTCTGATGCATCATTGGGTGAGGGTTATCGTTTCTTATATTCAGAATTATGATTCAAACTCTAGGGGTTGAGGGTCGGGTCCCTTGTTGTCACAATATATTGTTTTGTTTGATAAATCAAAGACAATGGTCTTTTCATAATTCTTGAGGCTAGAACATTATAATCTTGTTAGAAAATGTTCTATTCCTATTGCACAGCACAATAGTATATTATCTTGTGAAAATTGTAGAATTAATTTAAACATGTATCAATATAAAGTCTTCTCTATACATAGCAATGATAAAGTTTAGATTTAGCCTTTCTTCCAATTATATGTAAAATCTATTTTGAATATAAAAAAAAATATTTCAATATTTACGTACCGTTATTTGAAATTCATTTTGTTTGTAATTTGTTAATTCAGTTTCTATTCTTTGATACTTTTCAGACCAGAAAATTTGAGTGTTTATCACTGCACAACCGGACAGATCAACCGTTTCACATGGGGCCAGATGGGTATGTAGTCACTCTATAGCTGTAGAGTCAACTGACCACTTTCAATTGTCACAAACATAAACTCAATATAGCATTTATCAAGTAAACGCATTCTTGATCAAAGGTCAATTCAGAAACATAATAAGCAACATTACCAGGGGGGATTTTAATAATTTTCACAAACTAAAAATAAAGCCTTTTTAATAAAAGTTGACATACATTTATTATTAAGAAATACTATACTTGGCTGTTTCAGAGAGAATGTCGTACAGCTTTATGATGAAGAACCCAGTCAATACTGTTGCCAGAGTTCCTAACCCCAGATTTACAAAGAATGCGTAAGTGCAAATAGATATCTTTTAAACATTTTTTCTGAGTGAAAAAAAACAAAACATTAATTTTGAATGCAAAGCAATGATATCAAGATCAATTTTTTAAAGTTTACCTTATCTAAATTTTTTTGATTAGCCAAATGATCTCATTTCCAGTGGTAAGTTGCATTAATTATCATAAGATTCGCAATAACTGGTATTTTGTTTTGTTCTCATAACAACAGTCTAATATTATCTGTTTCCTACTTACTCACTCCCCTCTACTAATACATGTATCAGTCTTGATGCTGCATTTGTCAGGTTTAGTCTCACATGAGATGAGGAAAAGGACTTATAACATAGACCATAACCTGTTGGTCAGGATACTGTTTGTGTCAGGTGTAGTTTCACTAGACATGGAGAAAATGACTTATAACATAGACCATAACCTGATGGTCAGGATCCCGTTTGTGTCTAACATAGACCATAACCTGTCGGTCAGGATACTGTTTGTGTCAGGTGTAGTCTCAATGGACACGGAGAAAATGACTTATAACATAGACCATAACCTGTCGGTCAGGATACTGTTTGTGTCAGGTGTAGTTTCACTAGACATGGAGAAAATGTCTAACATAGACCATAACCTGTTGGTCAGGATCCTGTTTGTGTCAGTTGTAGTTTCACCAGATATCTTCTTATGCAAGTATTATCAGCTGTTGGTCAGGATACTTTTGAAGTCAGCTGTTGGAATACTATGCAAAGAATTTGTCAGTGTGTACTCTAGTTTGGTACACTGGATACTTATTTTGTTTAGGTAGTTTTGCTTGGTAATTCTTGATTGTAAAAACATCTGACTTAAAAAAAATGAAACATCTACACATGCGTGTAAACCAAACTGATTAAAAAATATGAACTGATTATTCAAAGAGTACTTAAACATCATGATTTGTTTTTAATCTTATTGCACCATTTTATCAACTGTCTGCAATTTTACTTTACATGGTATAATAAATTTGGTGAATTATCCCCCTTTAATCTTCTAGTTTTCTTTGCAAGTAATGACATTTCTGATAGCTTTGACAGATGATTCTGTTCTGTTTACTAATTATTAAAGACTACCAGTAGATTTTCAACAGTTTTAAATAAATTACCATTATTACAATTTTGCCTCGTGCAAACAACTGTTGCTAGATCAACGAAATAACTCCCTAAATGATCATTTCTTCTTCAAATAGATAGGATTTTTTTTGGTATTTATACTTATTATCAGCCATTTCTAGAGATTAGAAATTGTGTTGATCAGATTTGAAATGGGAACGACCACAATATCACCTATCACATAAGAGATGTAGATTTAGTTTGTTTTAATCACTACCAGACATAAAAGGATAAATTGAAAGGTACATTTGTTACTCATTGCACATGTGGTTGTGTTGCTTTCTGTAATTTCACATCTGTAAGATAAACTACCGAGTTCATCTAAGGGAGACAAATCATTTTACCCTAATGGTGTTTGTTCATCCCATAACTACACAATGGTCAGTGGAATTATTATTGCACTCCTAACTAGTTGACTAATGCTTCGTTCGTCGTCGTCCGCCGTGCGCCGTCCGCCGTGCGCTGTGCGCCGTCCGCCGTGCGCCGTCCGTAAACTTTTCATTCAAACGACTTCTTCTCAATAATTGGAAGGCCCAGGCAACTAATAGTAAGCCCTACCAAGTTTGTTAAAAGAATGACCTTGACCTTCATTCAAGGTCACAGGGGTCAAATTTTGTTCTGTATTACTGTAGCGTTTGAGATATTCATTATTATTACTTGCATTGAAAACAGATTTCAATGTAACAGTTGTAAAATCATTAATTTTCAAGGGGGATTTTATGATTATGTGGGATATCCTTATCTACAAATCCAGAAACTGAAACAGTTAGTACAAGTAATTTTTTTTATCCATGGAGTCAAGTGTCCATGATATAGTTTTTTTTTGTAAACAATGAAAATTTTGACCCACAAAAATATGTAATTTTACAGTATTTTAAAAACATATTTTCAGTCAATATTGACAGTATGAGACATTAATATGATTACAAGCCCTCCCTATCCTTTATTGTAGTTTCATAATGACATAATATCATTTAAGGTTCAGGCTATGATAACTAATTATGTTTTAATTCCAGTTTTGCTTTCCAGAATATACATGAACAATCTACGTAAATTGGCTGGATTTTTAATAAACTTTAAATAAGACCCAAAACAAAATAATAAAATTGATTTTAAAGATATATTTCTCTACCTCAACAAATATCTTTATGATTATAAAGAAGTTGTAATGATAAAGGAATTGTCATCCTGCTACATATAAATAGCCTTTTTTTTCCCCTTGTAGTATCTGGCATGATCTGAATGTAGTGTTTGATCACCTCATCCCAGCCTACCTAATGGACTTCTACATGTGGATCTCAGGCAAACGACCTATGTAAGTAACTTGATTTAGATGTCTTTTATTTCCAATATATATATTTAAACATGGTGACACAACCGACAAAGAAAGACAATTTTTGAGTCGTGCCCTGTACAGGCCTCGTTACTCACAATCTACAGCACCAAAACACCTAGCCAAGAAATTGCTAGACAACTGCGTAACCAACTTCATCACACAGACATCCCCAAAAAAGGATGTTTTGAAGTGGTAGTGATAGACAGCCAGAAATTCTTGACATGATCCTTGTGGCAAATTGTCTCTTATGTGATTTGAACACCTAGATCACAATGTCTATAATGCATGGATTCAAATTGTAAATAATATATATACATGTATTTTATTATTTTATATATACCATAACAACAGGAGATATACTATCAAGCCTAAGGTCTGTAATGCCCCTAGCCTGTTAACTGTGAAAAAAAGAGAGAGGGGAAATTCCAACTGTACAAATAATACAAAATTATATGTGTTGTCCACATCCCAAAATATTGTACACTCATACTAAGATTTAAAAGCAAGGGGAAAAAATATCTGACTGACTTACAGATGATAATGAAGAAAGAACATGATAGTTTTGTTTTCAATGAATACGTGAAATATGTGGTGTATGTTTACCTCGTGGCATTTTAATGACATACTCCTTAGATTTGTTAAATATGTTCCATCAGTAGATTTATGCTTCAATATCATGATATGAATCAAAATTATGTTCATGTTGAGCAAAGATTCCTTTTACCACTGAAAGTCAAAGGAGCATTGGTTATTGGATTGTTCTAGCTTTGTAAAGATCCAGGAGAGGTTGAGAAAATCTGTGGCAAGTCTGGACTACTTCACATCGCAGGAATGGAACTTCAACAATGCTGGTCTTTACAAAATCCTAGAGGTCATGACCCCAGAGGACAAAAAGGTAAGTGTGTAGACAAGCACCCCAAAGGACAAAAAAGGTGAGTGTTTAGACAAAGTCCTAGAGGCATGACCCCAGAGGACAAGATGGTAAGTGTGTAGACAAAATCCTAGAGAGCATGATCCCAGAGGACAAGATGGTAAGTGTGTAGACAGATGGTAAGTGTGTAGACAAGAACCCCATAGGACAAAAAGGTGAGCTTAGAGGACAAGAAGTTGAGTGAGTAAACAAAGTCCTAGAGGGCATGACCCAAGATGGCAAGAAGGTGACTGTGTAGAGACAATCCTATAGTTTATGACTTCAGAGGGCAAAACAGCAAGGGTATAGACAAAATCTCAGATATCAGAACCATGATGATAACATGATTATAAATGCAGAAGTCAATCCTTTAACAATCGATTTCATGTAACATGAAAGATGCATATGAAAGTCGTCTTTGAAACTACAAATTTTTTCAGGATTTCAACTTTGATCCAAAGATGATCAATTGGGCAGAATACATGGAGGCTTACTGCTTGGGTACCAAGAGGTTTGTCATGAAAGAGGAACTAGAGGAGCTACCAAAGGCTAGGAACACCCTCAAAAAGTAAGTGAAAGCATAATTTTTTTTCAGTCATTGACTGGATTTCAGATTAGATGTAGATAATTGGTAAGTAAACTTGTAATATATAAAATATTTCTGATCAATTGATTAATTTGAACTTTCGTAATATGTTCTGTGAATACATATTGTTAGTATTAAGCAGGAGACAAAAGCAGTCTCTGATTTGCTGATATTGATTTCTAGTTTGACCTATGTGTCATGTATTATTCTATGGCAGTCTTTGATTTTTCATTGAACTTGATTCAGATGTTACTTCGTATTCGACTATTACCGAAAATTCAATATTATATGTGGTTTTATCATTTTTTGACTTAATAATTAATAATAATTATCTTGTTTTCATTCAGTGAACAGAATCAACGAAAATTAAAATGTCAGGATTACTCATGAATTAACAGTAATTTTATTAATTGTGATTTTGTTTTGCTTAAAAATGTCAACTGCTGCACATTTCGTTGTTGTGATAAATAAATACACTTGAAAGACATGAAGATTATCATCATAATTTTGGGTTTAATACTTATTGTCTGTTAGATAAAGAATTTGTCAGCCAATTCCTACATATGACTTTACCTAACTGACAAGTCACACAAACGTGCTTCATGACGTCTCAAGACATCACAAAGGAACAAAAAATATGCTTATCTTGATGTCTCAGGACATGCATTTATGTGTGTCTTGACGATGAAAATGAGTTGTGCTAATGTAAATGTGGAGTGGATATGACTCAAGACTGCTAACAATAGTGGATGTATTCATCAATGCAAACTTTATTTTCACAATACAACATTCTCACAGCTAAAATTGATAATTATTTGTATTTTCAAAATTTTTGATTTCATTGTAACATGACACGTGATCTGTTGCTAGGTTACAAAGAATCAATATGGCATCCAATGTGATTCTGATTATCGTCATATGGCGCCTTCTGTACAACAGAGTGCCCATCGCCAAATCACTGTGGAATTTCCTTATTGGCTGGGCCATCAAGATCTTCAGACGTCTTCCAGCAATGATCAAGTCCTCATAGCGGTCAGCATGGTCAGTTGTAATGGTCAAGTCTTTGTAAAGGTCAGAAAGTGAATACAAGACAATGAAATATTAGCAGATCTCGTAAAAAAAAAAAAAAGCTTACGATCAAAGTTACAGAAGACCCTTAATAGAGGTCACATGGTCATCTACAGATATGTTATGAATAATCAGACATTTTGTATCCAATATATGTAATAAGAAAACCAAAGATCAAAGTTCTAGAAGAACCCGAAAAGAGGTTGTATGGTTATATAAAGAAGCTTTGTAATCAACCAGTTGTTTAAAATTTAACATTTTCAATAATTGTCACCTGACCTCATTAACTTGGTAAAATCCAATGTAGAACCTTTATTAATATATAGTTTTGATCATTTGAGGAGCCAGTCCATGTTATGGGTTAAATATTTAAGTTTACCTGTCACACTTGTGGCTAATTGTGGTATTTTATTTTAGAGTTATGTCCCCTTGATCAAATGCTTATAGACATTATAAATCCCAATTCGATCAAGTTAATTTGTTTCAGAGTTATGTCCCCTTAATTAAATACTTGAAGATATAGCCCAATACACACAATTCAAATCTGACAAGGTAAACAAATTCTGTTAATAATTGCACTGAGTTGTGAGTTATAAGATATTTTAGGTTATTCCCCCCTTTTCCAAATTCTTTAAATAAAATATATATGCCTCAAAGATCGACGAATCGATAGTTATAAACCCTACTTAACTACAAAATCAGGCTACAAATACTTTATTACTGATTACATATACAACTAAATGAATAATGACTAATTGATATACAGAATACAATATTAGCTCTGTGATAATCATCTAGGGTTTTCATTGTGCCAGTTTTTTTTTTGTAATGTCATTTTTATTAATGAAAATCATTTAAAGATGAGGAGCTTTATTTATATCAATCTCCATGTAATGTTTCTTGTATTTGTAAGTGTTTCCATTTTCATGCACTTGACAGGCTGGGCCTCAGTTATGTTTGTTAGGATAATGAATAAATTTACTTACTATACATCCTGTAACTAGTGAAAATTTTAAAATGAAATAACAAGAATTGTTGCTCTTGGCTTATTTTTTCACCATAATGTTCATGATATTTAGAAAAAACTTGAGTTAAGCGTATTTTGGAAGGCTGAAATTATATATAGAGTAATGATTCTGAGTGCATTGTCTATGCTAAAGTTATAAACAGTTTTAATCTCTTTTCATTTAAAAAATGCAAAGATTCTTACCAAATTAATTTTTTTCCTTAAAAAATATAAATACTGTAGTATTTAAAGATAAATCTTCTAAAAATAGCTTTCAGACTGATTCCCTAAGGACCTGATTTGATTATTTCTTTATTTGTACTTGTATTTTATATGTATTTACATTATGTGCAATTGCAAGTATGTGAAATGTTCTTTAATATTTTGCTTTAACCCTTTCGGCGCCAATTATCTCTTACAATGTACAGCTCAGCACCAAATATATTACGGAAAATATCCGAAAACATCGGAAAAATTGTTAACCAAAGTCGCCTATGGTGGCCTGTCTGCATGTCGACTTTAGTCGCCTACAGTGCCGAAAGGGTTAAAACTATATGGTTTATATGTATTAGTTTTCTGACAATTATGATAAAATTGTGCTCTTTTTATCTTATTGATTGTGAAGATTCTGTGATTACTTAAGAAATACCATTAATTTTTCTAGTACTTATATCAGATTTGTATAAAATACTTATTTATTAGATTTCTTTGAAAGGACTAACAGTTATCATTCATCAATAAAGCTTTTTACACTATTTACCTAGAAGCTTTAGACTCCAGGTAGGGAGAGGACTTATCGCTGGATATTGACAAGAAATCGGTTGTCCACCCATTGTGTTGCTGTATTGAAATCAATGTCAGTTCATATTTAGAGTTATCCATTTCACCATGTCAGTTAAAACAAACACTGATTTTGACAGAAGATAGTGTATATTTATCTAGTCTGTGTAAATGTCCTGGTATTGTAGCAGGTTATCCGTCTTGTTCAAGCGCATTGTGTGAATTTTCTTTCATGCTTATATGTTGTGATTTTCAAAGTTGATACAAAAGCTGATCTGTGCTTATTGAAAAGTGTTTTGTTTTTCACATAATTTACATTTTACAATTTTGATACGATCTTGTTACATGTTTTAACGGGTTATAAAGAAATATTTGATACAATATTTAAAGATATATTTATTCTAAATCAGTTCAACGTTTTACTTTTGGTCAGTAACAACACGAGGAACATTGAAATAAAATTCTTTGGTATATTTCCACAATTTGTTGACCAGTATGGCATTGTATAGGGGCTAGACAATATATTGAACTAGATTTTGAAGATAATGTGACCCTTAACATTATACATAAGCCATCTGAATTAAATTTGAAGACTTCTTTAAAGAATTATCATATGAAAATTTGATATACAAGTTTTTTTTCCCTGAAAAAATAAGTGTATACTAAGAAAGTGAATGTCATATTAAAGAAATTAGTATCTTAAAGCTATTAATTTCTATATAGAAAAAGTTTGGGAAAGATTGTTTTTTATCTATTAAATTGAAAAAGTTGTGCCATGACCTATGCAACACCAAATATTCAGTTAGTTTTGCTATTTGTTGTATTATTTACAAAGGGTCCGTTAGTTTTGCTATTTGTATTATTTACAAAGGGTAGGGTTGTGACCGTGGTTGACCTGGGCAATGATAGACAGAAGTGGTGGAAATAGGTTTTATTTCTGTTACTGTACATGTATTTTCTTGTTCATGTATTGTACCACTTTTAATGTCTTTCAGAAAAATTTGATGTTGTGATAATAAAGTGATTTTTTTTTCAGGACAAAGAAAATAAAAATAATCAAAAAACAGTGTTTTTGTGTTTAATTTTTGTCAGGTTGCTAATAACGTTATGCTTCTTGCCTATTTCTAGGGTAGTTTCCTACAGAGAGAATAATACAGCACCTTGTTGTTCTACAGCAGTGATTCCTGGCAAGATGTCAGCAAGTTTAAATTGTGATTAACACATTTTTGGTGTAATGAAATGATCTAATCGTGAATTCATCTCTAAAATTAAAGTACAGTTATCAGAACTTTGTTATTTTGACAACTATAACACTGATATTGGACATTTATAGAACATCATCAGGGCACTGCTGTTGTTATTACATCTGGTACAAACAGGGGTAAGCCAAGTTTTTCTGTTTTTGGTGTATTTTTCTTTTTTTTTCTGTTTTTTTTTTTTTAACATTGAAAAATAAATTATATCTTCCTCGTAATATGCCAGCTTTGTATATCATTTCCTTTTTTTCAAGTGCCAGTTATCTTATTTCTTGTGTCATACCTTCCACCATCATGAAATTGTGGAGCTTTAATGTCCCCTTTCACTTGTGGTCCCTCGTCCACCTTTTCTTAAAGTCTTGTCCCCGCAGTTTCTTGATAATTACCAGTGTTTCTTGAGCTCAAACTCGGCATGTTCTGCCAATTCGAGATTTATTGAGAGAAAAAAATTGCATTTGATTTTCACAGTCAAAATTTAAAAAAATATATCAGATTATGAAAATGTCTTTAATATGTAGTGTAACCCATTATTCACAGCGAGGAGGTTGGTAGAAGCACATTTTAAATATGACTGAAAAGATAGAAATTTTAATTACTTTTTCTGTCTGTTATTAGATTAAGCACACAGCTGATAAAGTATACAAAAAATCGATGTATTGAAAGTGAAATTCGTGACAGAAACAGGCCATAGATTGTCTTCGACAGAAGTATACCCAGTTTCAAGCTTTTGGTAAAACTACTAAAAAATCATAGCCTTCACGGTAATATCAATATGCTAATGAATTCACCATTCAAAAATTATCTTCAGACCGTGCAAAAAATATGGCCAGCGCGAAAAAAATCTATAATTATAGATATCGATGAAATATATAAATATATATAAAGCACTTTTCCTTTCTATGATCTACGCGGTGTTTTGTTAGCTTTTTTTGTGATGAAATCTTAGTTTAGGGGATTAAATGATACTTCCTGGTTAGTGTGTTGATCTGTGATTGATTTGTGTGTCATCGCTTTCAACGCCCTATGGCAATACTGACATTTGATAAAGAAGACAAGACTGCGGACTCATAACGTACAAATATGACGGACTTTTCCACAATGAGTTTTAAAGTACTCGGTTATGCACAAAGTAAAGCAGCACATCAGAAAGAAAATATATGACGTCACGAAACAGAAAAGGCATAAAACTATGATATTGGGATTTTTTAACTTGAAACGGAGAGAGTCGTCCTAAGATACCGATAGATGAAAGCAATTAAGTTGCAAACCGATAGCACAAAACATCCTCTCGCCTCCGGTATACTGGTCGTATGTGGTGTGTACTTCGGTTCTCCAGAGGAGTGAAATGAAGAAGAAACAGTTGAAAAGATATGGTGAATGGTGATGCTGGTTTTTCAATATCCTAAACATCTGAGTAAATAAACAATGATAATAATTTGGATGTTTTGTCTCGAACAAAATGCCCTCATTTTCCACCAAAAATGACAAAGAATGATTGTTTTTGAAGCTCGTGGTTACTTGTTTAGTTAGTTTGTGGGTACTGGAATGTTAAGCACAGCAGTTATAAATGATTTTGAAAACTTGCCAATGAAAACCCAAATTCGTCGAAAAAGTTTTCATGTATTTTATATAAGTTTTGTACATTTTGTACTGGTGCAATTGTTACTGGTATCAAAGGATCATTTTTTTTAAATACTGTGATCGAGAATGACAGTTAAATTCATATTACACGGTTTAAGAAATCTGATTTGTACACTAACAAACCATGCCCCGAAATTCATCTGATATGTCAATCATTTCAGTGGCGTGATCGATAACCTTGAATCTGATTGCATTTCTTTGGCGCATGCGTACCTGTAATGCATTCGCGCAGACGTTTCAAATACAAAGGAAGGCACAGCCAGAAAGTTGTGGAATGGTTTGAAATTTAAAAGAAGAAACTCTGCGACTAACAGAAATGTAAGGAAAACGTCAGGTATTGAATTGAATGTTTCCTTTGACATTTAGTTTAGGCTTATCAATTCTTGTCAGAAGACCACGTTTAACAATTTTTTTTATGTAAAAAAAGACTAAATATCCGAACCATCCACACATACCCAGTTATAATGGATTTCCTGGTCAAACGGGTTCATACTGCAATAGGGAAGTGTGTCTTTTGATTATGTTGTGGTATATCTGTTTTATAATTAATACTAAATTCCTGGTCAATATATTTTCATTGAACTTGGAAAAGCTCGTCTTCCTTAACGCGTTTCATACAATAACGAACACCGGAATGTCGAAACCATGAAGTGAAATGTCGAAACCACGTAGTGAAGAGCTGAAATAATGTACACCTCTTCTATTTTTATCGAATAGCCAAACTACGATCTAGATTATTTTGAATTATTCTGTCTTTTAATTTTTTTCCATGTCGGTTTGGCTTCGATGATCGAAATGTAAATAATGATTTTCCTAAATCATTAAAATAGGCTGAGATTTTTGTGTATTCTCATATAATCACACATAGGACAACTATCCTTCATAGGACAGACGTTTTGTACTATCGTATTTTGGACAGACATTGCGTACTGCTATACATTAGACAGACATTGTAAACAATCATGCATAGGACAGGCATTTGCTAGTACCGTATATAGGACAGACATGGTAAACTATCGTGTATACGACAGACATAGTGTAATATCATATATAGGGCAGACAATGTATACTATAGTATATAGGACAGACATTATAAACTATAGTATACGGGACAGATATTGTATACTGTTGTATATAGGGCAGATATTGTATACTGTTGTGTATAAGACAGATATTGTATACTATAGTGTGTAGGCAAACGTTGTATTCTAAAGTGTATAGGAAAGAAATTGTATACTATATTTTATAGGACAGACATTGTATACTATAGTGTATAGGACAGACGTTGTATAATGTTGTGTATAGGACAGACATTGTATATTATAGTGTATAGGACAGACATTGTATACTATAGTGTATAGGACAGACATTGTATACTATAGTGTATAGGACAGACATTGTATACTATAGTGTATAGGACAGACATTGTATACTGTTGTGTATAGGACAGACATTGTATAATGTTGTGTATAGGACAGACATTGTATACTATAGTATAAAGGACAGACATAGTATACTATAATATATAGGACAGACATTGTATACTATAGTGTATAGGACAGACATTGTATACTATAGTGTATAGGACAGACATTGTATACTATAGTGTATAGGACAGACATTGTATACTATAGTGTATAGGACAGACATTGTATACTATAGTGTATAGGACAGACATTGTATACTATAGTGTATAGGACACAAATTGTATACTATAGTATATAGGACAGACATTGTATACTGTTGTGTATAGGACATACATTGTATACTATAGTATATAGGACAGACATTGTATACTGTTGTGTATAGGACAGACATTGTATACTATAGTGTATAGGACAGACATTGTATACTATAGTGTATAGGACAGACATTGTATACTGTTGTGTGTAGGACAGACATTGTATACTGTTGTATATAGGACAGACATTGTATACTGTTGTATATAGGACAGACATTGTATACTGTTGTGTATGTGACAGATATTGTTGTATATAGAGCATATATTGTATACTGTTGTGTATAGGACAGACATTGTATATTATAGTATAAAGGACAGACATTGTATACTATAGTATATAGGACAGACATTGTATACTGTTGTGTATAGGACAGACATTGTATACTATAGTATATAGGACAGACATTGTATACTGTTGTGTATAGGACAGACATTGTATACTGTAGTATATAGGACAGACATTGTATACTGTTGTGTATAGGACAGACATTGTATACTATAGTATATAGGACAGACATTGTATACTATAGTATATAGGACAGACATTGTATACTATAGTGTATAGGATAGACATTGTCTACTATCGTGTATAGGACAGACATTGTATACTATAGTATATAGGACAGACATTGTATACTGTTGTGTATAGGACAGACATTGTATATTATAGTATAAAGGACAGACATTGTATACTATAGTATAAAGGACAGACATTGTATACTATAATATATAGGACAGACATTGTATACTATAGTATATAGGACAGACATTGTATGCTGTTGTGTATAGGACAGACATTGTGTACTATAGTATAAAGGACAGACATTGTATACTATAGTATATAGGACAGACATTGTATACTATAGTGTATAGGACAGACATTGTATACTATCGTGTATAGGACAGACATTGTATACTATAGTATATAGGACAGACATTGTATACTGTTGTATATAGGACAGACATTGTATACTGTTGTATATAGGACAGACATTGTAGGACAGACATTGTATACTATAGTGTATAGGACAGACATTGTATACCATCGTGTATAGGACAGACATTGTATACTAAAGTGTATAGGACAGTCATTGTATACTAAAGTGTATAGAACAGACATTGTAAACTATACTATATAGGACAGACATTGTATACTATAATGTATAGGACAAACGTTGTATTCTAACGTGTATAGGACAGACATTGTATACTTTAGTATATAGGACAGACATTGTATACTGTTGTGTATAGGACAGTCATTGTTTACTATAGTATATAGGACAGACATTATAAGCTGTACTATATAGGAAAGACATTGTATACTGTTGTGTATAGGACAGACATTGTGTACTGTAGTATATAGGACAGACATGGTATACTATAGTGTAAAGGACAGACATTCTATACTGTTGTAAAAAGGACAGACAATGTATGCTATAGTATAAAGGACAGGCATTGTATACAATAGTATAAAGGACAGACATTGTGTAATATAGTGTAAAGGACAGACATTGTATACTGTTGTGTATTTGACAGACATTGTATACTGTTGTATATAGGACAGACATTGTATACTATAGTATATAGGACAGACATAGTATACTATAGTGTATAGGACAGACATTGTGTACTATAGTGTATAGGACAGACATTGTGTACTATAGTGTATAGGACCGACATTGTATAATATAGTATATAGGACAGACATAGTATACTATAGTGTATAGGACAGACATTGTATACTGTTGTATATAGGACAGACGTTGTGTACTATAGTGTATAGGACCGACATTGTATAATATAGTATATAGGACAGACATAGTATACTATAGTGTATAGGACCGACATTGTATACTGTTGTATATAGGACAGACATTGTATACTTTAGTGTATAGGACAGACATTATATACTATAGTATATAGGACAACCATTGTATACTGTTGTATACTATAGTATATATGACAGACATTGTATAGTGTTGTATATAGGACAAACGTTGTATAGTGATGTATATAGGACAGACATTGTGTATTATAGTATTGTATACTGTTGTGTATAGGACAGACATTGTATACTGTTGTATATAGGACAGACATTGTATAGTGTTGTATATAGGACAGACGATGGGAAAAGTCTTTATTAATAACTGACACCTCTGTGACATGAACATCTGTTTACTTTTGTTATAATGTTTATATACAATGCATCGAGCTTGTTGATGTGTATACATATCCATAAATACACGATGTGGCATCTAGCTACACTGCATCTTGTGAGTTTTATCCTAGTTTATTGATTTGGGAAGAGAAACACGTCAAATAGTACAAAACATTGCCAGGTACGAACAGAGGCATATTTACGAAATACCTTCCTACATTAAAACCTGTCTATAAAGGACACATTTTAGAGGCCCTCAACCATATTGATGTCACATCAATAACTCAGGAAGTCGACCGCTTCATTGTAATAACGTTTCAGGCGTTTTACGCGTGTGATATTTATACGGGCTAATAGCATTATAGATCAGTGACATGTGAATGCAGTTGGAAGACGTACACGTGGACAAGACCCTGGGTAAGTGTAATGCTTGAGACGTTTTTATTTCGTTATTTCTATCCGGACAAGTTGTCCATTTTGTAATTGAATATGAAAACTCTGGCTACACACACGCACACACACACACACACACACACACACACACACACACACCCTCACACGCACACATATATATATTTTGTAAAGTCTGATTCTCGGATAAATCTCTTTGAGGCCATGGGTGTAGTATAAGACACCACTGACCACAGGTCAGCATCAGGGCAACGATCTAACATGATTTCAATTTAATCTGCGAATTATATGATGTACCGAAGAGCTATGCTTCATTCAAATGACGAGTTCAGATGAAAAAAAAATGTATATATGACAGTGTTGATTTTGACTTCCACTAAATCTCTTGCTTATTCATGTATTTCACTTGTTATTCTCTCTGTCTTTTCAATTGTAACCATAGCAAAGTTTTTAAAAATGCGATATTATTCCGTGGTTGTCGAGTTTATCAGCAAAAATCAACTCATATATCAAAAACGCGTGCCCAAATTTTGGACAAGTAAAACATGGCAATGCTCTTTATAATTGTTAATATACATGCATATTATAGCGAATTAACATTAATGAGAAACTTAATGTCGTGTACGTCCATGTTAGTGAAGACGAGTATCGAATAATCACTTCACGAATTCGTCGGTGTTACTTTCCCATAACTAACAAGCAGTACATGTGATACGATTTGTCACGATTTTAGTCTTTATATTATGGGTATATGGATTGAATTTTATGTAGATGAATCATGTTGATAAGTTATGCGTGAAATGCACTCGTGATGTACTTAAAATTAAAACGAAATTGAAATTAGTCAACCTTATCTACATGACTGCGATATAATCTTACCTACAGTCTAGTGTCTAAGTAGAACAAGACAACATTATGGCCAACAATTTAACTTAAACGTTCGGAGAGTTCTGAAGAGGGGATTATTTTACAATATTATCTCCAGGGTTTTCCAGCAGTTAAATTCTTCTGTCGATGATGTACGTTCAATAACTTTTAATGCGACTATATTTTTTTCATTACAAAAAGACAGCACACAAAATTTGTGGAAAGTGTGTTTCGTTCTTACTTCCTCTTCCTTCTCGACGATTAATTTATATATCCTGGGGCACAACATGGACGGGTGGAATGTTCTGACGGTGTGTTCCCTGAACGCATACATGTCTAGAACAATAGGTAGAAACATCAAAGGGAGGGTAATTATAGTCTATATCATACATGTATTATATTGGTGTGTTCCCTGAACGCATACATGTCTAGAACAATAGGTAGAAACATCAAAGGGAGGGTAATTATAGTCTATATCATACATGTATTATATTTACCTGAGATATTTTACCTGTGGATCTACCTGTGTTACCTGTATTAACCTGTGATAACTTGCAGAAAGAAAACTAAGATATCAATATGAAGTTCAATATTTATTAACTTTTCTTATGATAATATTACAATTGATTAAATTTAAAATACATTTAATATAAAGAAAGAACACAAAGATGCCAATATTTATGAATATATTCTATCATAATAGCACAATTACCTTTAAATAACATGTAACTTCAACTAAAATATCAAGTTCAACATGTATGAATATATTCTATCATAATATTACAATTAACTTTAAATTCAAATCAAATCTATAAGGTACAATATTTTGATCTAAAGAAAGATCAATGTACAACATATCAGTACATAACTAAAGACATATATACAGCACTAGGAAATGATAAATATATGCAGCACTACTACTAAAACTTATAAATATACAGCACCAGGAAATGACAAATATATGCAACATGACTATGAATACTAATAAATACACTGCACTTATATGTCACACTATTAGAAACTGATTGATGTTACAGCACTAACGGCATATACGAGACACTAAAGACTGATAAGTGATAACACTAATTCAATGATGAATATATAGCACTGACATAAATATCTGCAACAATGACACAACGTACAAAGTCATTCGTTTTGCTCAGAGCAAGTCTAGGCAAGACATTTCAACCCAAGTGAAGAAGCTCAGATGCTGCATCAGCGTACGCAATGATGTCTATGGTGTTGCTCTCCAGTCTCTGTTTCAGCAGGGCAAGGCGGGTGTCAATGTTTCTGTACCTCTTGGGTCGGGGTCGTCTGGTTCCACCGGCGCGTCGTTGGAGTCTTGCAATTTCGTTGGTAGCCTGAATGTCTTTGAATGTCTGGATGATCTCGAAGATGTTTGGATGGGCGTGTTGCAAAATCTTCTTCAGCTTCCCGTGCCAGGCTTCTAGGTGGTTGGTGGTACGTGGTCCATCGTTGTCGTAGTGGTTCCAAACTGGTCGGTCTCCATCCACCCATTGGTCAACAACATAGTCCGTGAATGGTGTCACGTTAGCTGGTAGGTCGGCGTACTCAATGTCCTGTAGTGCGTGAAACCAAACATCCTCAACTTGCTGCTCAGGTACCAGAGGTAGGACTGCTGCACGGCGAACCAGTCTCCTGATGTCTTCGTTGTCCCGGTATGGAAGCTGTAGTCAGTCATCAGTGCCTTTCTCCAGACGCATTGGGTGTAGTGGAAGAAGCAGCCCTTGATATCGGTCCCTGGGAAGACGGTGCGGATTGCGTTGTGGACAGCTGTCTCAAAGTCAACGAATACTGTGTCGGGCGACATGGGTAGGTGGTTGTCTGCCATGAATGTCTTGAGTAGTGTGAAGAATCTTGTGTAGATGTGCTGACTTTTCCCGGGTAGAAGAGAGTAGACAACTGGGTACATGGATCCATCTATCTCAATGTGTATCGTGTAGATCTGATGAAAGATGTTGGGACACGTATAGAAAGTACCATCACAGTAGATGCGGTCGGCGGTGGCGAGCTCAGCCAAGTCCTATGATGTGGCGAAGACAAGGATTCTGTTCTGGTCACCATCGTCAATGTGTAGGAAGCGCTCTCCAGTGTTGGTTTCCGTCCATCTTCCCTCGAGATCAATGTCCTGGGTAGTGGTTGGTAGCTTTGGTGTAAGCTTGCGTCTGGCTCTGTACAGCTGTGACTTCTTGGAGTTAAAGGTGGGTATCTTCTCTACAACGGTTCTTGTCTCTTCATCCCATTCGTTGTCACGCAGTTTGCAGAGTTCCTCACTGTAGATGGTAGGGATTGGTCTGATTTCTTTCTGGCAGCGGTCAGTGATGCAGTTCATGATCATTTTCATTTATTTATTTATTCATCAATTTACTTTTTATCTCTAATCATTTCTTCCTTATTGCATACATAAGAGCAAAAAAGTCCATTGATACAATTTATGAGTTTTTGTTTCAAGGATAGAATTAACAAAATATTTCTTTTTACAAAACAACTTTTACATCAGTATTTACCTTTCTCCTCGAGACGATCTAATTCTGTACAAGTAACCATTATATGATAAGTTGTTACCCCCAAGTCTATTTCTAATGAACTTAAAATTTAACTGAGCGTTAGCCATGATTGGGAATTGAAACACTAGAAGATTTGTTGAATGATAGCAAAGTAAATTATACCAATGTGAAAAATGTGTTAGCTTATATAGATAAACTGCATGAATAGCTTGGATACTCACCTCAAAGTGTCATGTCATCTGTAGCTTTGGTCCTATTAACTGAGTTCATCAGTTTTTTAATTGATCTTTGAGAGGTGAACAGTTTTAGATCAATTAATTTATTTAGCAAACATCATTTGAATATAAAATTTACTATACAAACACTTTTTAAAGAAAATAATCAAAATAATCATATCAAGCAGTTATTGTGATTTGAATAAATGAAATTGAATGCATGCATAATTGTGCATAAATTAAAAAATATTAAAACAAAATTGTACACAATTTATATCCTTCATCTTGTAAATTGAACATTTCTTAAATAATTTGTTTAAAGTTTATATATATAATCCATACAATTGTAATTTCTTCTTTTTTTTTTTTACTTTAAATAAGTCTATTATACACTATATGTCCTCATCTGTAATTTCCCACCCTAAAATCAGGATGCCTGTACACTCACAGGTAAATACAGGTAACTTGTACAGGTAAATATAACTACCTACACAAGGAAACAGACTATAATCACTGTGTAAACATATCACCCAAGACATGTTTTTAAAATGTATGCGTTCGGGGATACAGCCGTTCTGACACCGTGATCAGGTTGAGACACTCTATCGTAAGACTTGAATCATCGTGCGAATATCTAGCCGATATAATTAAGTATAACCTCAAAAAGAATATCATAGCGAAGATGGTTTCTATTTACAAGTACACGGCGTCTGTCACTTCAAAGCCAATCAGATTTCTAATCAAGACCCTATTTTTCTAATCAATTTGTTCATGGTTTCGGTGTGTCTATCGCCCCAACACTGCTATTGGTTACATCAATGAACACCATGCGTGCGGTTCTGAACAGTGAAGTGTCTTCCTTTAAAAAACAGAACTGGTTTGGAATCACACCTCGGATCTCCCTCTCTGAAGTTACAAAGTCTGATGATTTCGCGGCCCTTTTTTATGTCGAAATGATATAAACTTGAAATATCACTTGTGAGTTTAAGTGTTTTTTTTATTCTAAATGACATATTCCCCAGTATCAGAGTTACGATATGAAAAACCTAGCTAGGAAAATTTCGAACACTGACGTTCGTCGGTGAGACGATGCCTGGTAAATGAGTAGTCGCGGAGACAGAAAACCTGTCAACCAACCGACCAATTAGAAAAAATACCTCTGTTGCAGGTGGTCATATGTAGGTTATATAGGAGATCCTAGCTAGATACTACACGTGCTTCAGTGAACAGATGTTGCACAGCTCAGCAATATACAAAGCGGATTCAGCATGTTGCATGCGAAATCCTGAGTGCTCTGAGCAACTACAAACCTTACAAAATCAGATAAAATTATGAATGGAAGAACGAATGGGTCATTTTAAGTTGTGATGCTAGTCCATGGCATGTTGTATTTCAT